GGCAGGGACATCAATGGCACATGTCGATGCTCTAAGCCGCAATCCAATTAGCGTTCACCACATCGAAGAGAAGGACCTGATCGACATTTTACAGGAAGGAGACGAGGGGATACAGAGCATTATTAAAACCCTGAGCTGCGCACCCACAAGTGGGGAGGATCAGAACAGCGGAGTACGAAAAGAGTACAAGATAGTTGACGGACGATTGCATCGTCGACTTAACGATGCGATGAGACCGGTACTGCCCAGGGGTGCTAGACTGCATATTATGAAAATATATCATGACGACAACGGCCACTTGAGTGCAGAAAAATGCATAGAGGCAATTGAAGCAAAATACTGGTTCCCAAGGATGAGGAGGTGCGTGCGGAAGTATGTGAATAGTTGTCTGGGTTGCCAGTTTTCAAAGAAACCTGCAGGGAAGCAGCCAGGGGTATTGCACCCGATACCCAAAGTCCCCGTACCATTCCATACACTCCACATAGACCATCTGGGACCGTTTTGCAAGAGTTCGGGGAAAACCTACATTTTTGCCATAATTGATGGGTTCACGAAATTCGTCTGGCTGGAAGCCGTCGCCAGCGCCAACGCGCGAGGGGCTATAAATGCGATAAGCAGGCTGGGACAAGTGTTTGGATATCCTGTGCGTATTATTAGTGATCGAGGCACAGCGTTTACCGGGCGGGAATTCAGAGAATACTGTAAAGAACTTGGTATTAGACACGTGTTGAATGCTGTTGCCACCCCTCGAGCAAACGGCCAAGTGGAGCGGCTGAATAGGACCATTTTGGCATCCCTGACTGCACAAATGGGCGAAGAACAGAAGGGGTGGGATGCTCATTTACCTAAAGTACAATTAGGAATCAACTCAACGGTCAGCCAGGGCACTGGGAAATCCCCACTAGAACTGCTGTGTGGATTCAGGCCCCGGCTAGGTCGAGAACTACTAGGGCCGATCCCTTCGAACGCTGATGTTTCTGTCTTAAGAGAAGAAGCCGACAGAGAAGTTGAACGGAGAGCATCACTCATGAAGGCAAGATATGATAAGCACCACTACCAGCCGGAGTCCATCAACGTTGGGGCGTTAGTGATGGTAGAGAGGAAGATCTTGAGGACTGGTCTCACGAGTGGAAAACTCGTGCCTAAATACTCGGGACCATATAAAGTTGCAGCTGTTCTGCCGCATGACCGATTTGAAGTAACATCAATCTCTCATGGTAAACGAACTTATAAGAACGTGGTAGCGCGCGATAAGATGAAGCTTTGGCACTCAAGGGAGGAGTCATCCACTTCAGATGATGGTGACGATGAAGAGTAAAAAAAAAAAAAAAAAAAAAAAAAAAAAAAAAAAAAAAAAAAAAAAAAAAAAAAAAAAAAAAAAAAAAAAAAAAAAAAAAAAAAAAAAAAAAAAAAAAAAAGAGAGACACAAAATGTGTATGATATGTGTAAATATTACAACACTGTGTGAAACATGTCATGAGTAACTGAGTGGGACATGGTCGTGAGAAACTGAGTGAGACATGTCGTGAATAACTGGGTGGGACGTGTCAAGAGTAACTAAGTGGGACATGTCGCGAATAACTGGGTGGGACATGTCGCGAATAACTGGGTGGGACATGTCAAGAGCAACTGGGTGGGACATGTCGTGAATAACTGAGTGGGACGTGTCCAGAGCAACTGTGTGGGACACGCCGTATGGAACTGTATGGGACATGTCTGTGTAGACTGTGTGTGTATAATATGAAACTGTGTGAACTATGTGATGCCATACCATGTGTGCTGTGTAAGTGACAATTCTTGGACCGGGCGTAGCTGGCCGTGTGGAAGACTCCACGGTTATGCAAAGCCTAAACGTGCACGCCGCACCTAAGATCTGACCCCGGCTCAGGGTAAGTTTCCTGTATTCTTGTGCTTTTCTGTGAGGTTCATGCTGTGTGTATTTAAGGAGAGAGGAAACGGACTGTGTGACTTGTGTGAGTTACCTGAAGGCCTGTCCGGCCACATGTGAAGTTCTTTCGAGGACGAAGAAGTGTCAGGAAGGCCGAACTGTTAGCTGACATCTCCTTTTCAGTTACATTCTTCTTCTCCTCTATGGCTATTGTGTTTTGTTGTATCATGAACTTGTGACATGACGTTCAAATAACACCTAGTCCGAGCTATCACCTTGACAGCTCGGAGCTGTCAGTTGGGTTTTACCGCGTTTTCGATGTGGCTGTCGTGTGTACGCTCCCCGGCAAAAATATTATTGTTTTTCCAAAAGAGATCCGTTTCAAGTAAATAATTAACAGTATTTACAAAAAAAAAAGTATTTAAGTATGTTTATATCCGTTGTCTAGTACCCATAGTACAAGCTTTGCTTAGTTTGGGACTAGAAGCGCAGTGTAAAATGTCTAAGGATATTTATATTTATTTGCAGGTTCAGGCTGCGATAAAACCTTATTTCTCGCTGCTAAGGGATTTGGCAACATACAAACAAAAAGTTATTTACCTACCAGACGTTTCGACTCGGGTCATGGTCGCGGGCAGACCTTTTTAAAAGTGTTGCCCAATCCCGTATTAGTGAGAATTTAATCAAAATACAACATAAAAGTTCTAAATATTACGATAAAACCTTATCAAAGCATTATCGACAACCCCTTTGTTTCTAACACTTCTTCTCTTGGGTTGGCCTTCTTCGTTTTGGCGCATATTCTAACTGGGCAGGTCACAAGTCTCCACTGCTCCAAGAGAACCACTTTTTTTATTTACTAGGGGCAAAATACATGACATTACATTTTTATTGCGCTGATTCTTCTCAGCACTGGCCTATTTATTGTCCTGAAGCAGCGGTAGGGTTAATACTGGGACGTGTAAAAATGCTTTTTAAAAGTCTACTTACATAAATAAATGAGTTTTTAAGATAAGACCGGTTGCAACTTGTGAATAATCTCGTCGGATATATTTCCTTCTGAAAGATATTTTTGATTTTTCTATCTGTAAGTGAAATAGTGATTACAAAATTAGCTTAGTTTTGTCCATGTCCTATATCCATGACTAAACACGTCCCGTCCCACAGGCGTCGCTCACAAAAGAGGAGCCCCCCAAAGAGGAGACACCTGCAGAGGTGACAGTGGAGACCAACGAGGACCCCATCGAGGTTCTGGATGCGGACGACAACGTTGATTCCGACGCAGAATCCGTCGTGGAGGTCGTCACCGAGCCACTGCCGGAACCCGTCGAGGTTAGTACACCCTTTGATAGTTTATTTACCCGACTGCGGGAGGAGGGTTATGTTTTTATTATATCACTGGCATTCCGCCCGCGGCATCGCCCGCGTGAATAAAGGACTGTTTTTAGGATTTTCCCGGATCTTTCCCCGTAAAAACCATCTTTGGAATTCAATTAAAAAGAAAGAATTGGTAAAATTGGTCCAGGCGTTGTTGAGTTACGCGCTTACCAACACATTTTGCGATTAATTTTTATATCTATCATAAAAGCCATGTATTTTATGCAATGCTATATGTGAGATATGTCCCAATATAACATTGATGCAGTAACTAAATTCAATTAAACAAGAAAGTTCGTATTTCTATGCTTTTTGACCTGAACAAAGCTTATATTGTGCCTTCAAAGGCAGTTGAGTGAGTACAGACCACAGCACATTAAACTGTGACATCTTAGTTCTTTTTTTTTTTATTTGTGGCAATTAAACCTCTCTGGGAGGTTTATTTCTGCCAATGTCGAGTGAAAAATATTGACATAGTTATCAATAGAACGTGGGTGTTTCAGTTCTATTGATTTTTCATGGATTCCGTGGGGTTAAGTATGCCCGTAAGCAGGTTTCGAGACGCCACCGGGTCCAAAGCGGGTTGTTCATACGACAACCCACTCGACACTCGATGCGCGCTCAAATTCGAAGTATTTCAATGTTTTTTATAATTTATCACTTCACTGCACTTTAGAACACAAAATAACACCAAATTTGTACACTAAAGTCCATTAAATAATAAATTGAAACCATTAAAACAGATCGACCATGCTTCCCGTTCAACTACCCTCCACGGAATCCATCTTAGTTCTTGTAATGGGTGTTATTTTGCAACAATGTCTAGTCTGTTATATGAATAATTAGGCTGAGTTGCACCACCTAACTTTGCCACCTAACTAACCGTAACTATAACGATAACCGGTGCTTTTTGAATGGAGTTTGACATATTTTTTACGTTTGTCAAAGTTAAAGTAGATGGTGCAACCCAGCCTTACAGTATGACGTTCAATAAGGTCTAATCACTTAATATCACATAAGGTACCACTTAATATCACCTAAAAAAAAGTCCCTAGTTTTAGTGGTCAATGCTGGCCGTCGGCATCGACACATGCCATTATGATCCGTTCAGCACTACTATTAACGCTCGTTTTTCTATGACGCCCGACCGCTGCTCCGTTGAATGGACTTACGAGTGATATTGTCGGTGTTGACGGTAGTCAGCAAAAATGTTTACCGTTTGTTTTTTGTTTCTTTATTAGTTAAGGTATACAAGTTTAAATGTTAATGTTAATGTATGTNACGCGAGACCTGTTTAAGTGCAACACCGCCTAAATAAACGGGAGGTACTAGGGTGATCTTATGATCCCGAGACTTAAACATCATAAGTTCACTTTTTTTGGCGTTATATCTGAGCCCATGAGTTTCAGCATATTTCTCACATATCTCAAGTAGTTTACGAATGGCCGGTCTGTGAGCACGTAGAATTTTGTCCAATAACCCCAAGCTACCCATCCTTATCGCTCGCGCGTAATTATATTGCTGTCGCGACTGTGCGACGGGTGCCCGCAGTGAGTGAGCGAGCGCGACAGCAACATAATTACGCACGAGCGATAAGGATGGGTAGCTTGGGGTCATTCGACAAAATTCTACGTGCTCGCGGACCAGACTATAGTACATTTAGCAAAAAAAAAATTTACCAATAATTTGTCATCAAAAAACAACATCGACTTTACAAAAGACTCTTTTGTCGCAGGTCTGGACATGCTAGCGAGCGTGATGCCCTCAAGCTTCAGCTCTGCACCCACATCAGCCTCAGAATACAGTTGTGCAGAACCGCTCTTCACCAAACCAGACAAGATCCCCGGGTTAGAAACCCCCGCGGACGAAAAACCCAACCCTCTGGTACCGGTGTTAGGAAACATCAACGTCAACGACCTCTTCGCGAAGCTACTGGCCACCGGCATCGTCCAAGTGCCGAAAGAGACGAAAGACGAGCCGAAACTGGAGCAGAAGCCCGAGGAGAAGCCGAAGCCGAAAGAGGATAAGAGCGTCATTCACAGAGTGGACTTGCTCAAACCTGAGACGCTGAGAGTGTAAGTATTTTGGACCTTGACTTCTTTTTATTTTATATTTTTAGGTACACTGACTGACTGTTTGTACTTTTTATTCAATTTTATACCAGTAGTATTGAGTAAATCGCTCTTCATTTCAGCCCTCACCTTCAAGTCAAACAATTTATAAGCAAAAGGAGTAACTTTTAAACCTTAATTTTTTCCTCAGAAACTAGCGATCTGCCGCCAATTTTCTAAGTCACTTACTTCGACTTCGACTTCTAAGCGACTTCTTTCGATTAGCACATCTTAGCACAAAATAACAGTTATTTTTGAAATACTTAAATTAATATTGAATACTGGAAATAATTTGAAAAAAAAAAAAAAAAACATTAGATTCCCTCCCTTACCTTACGGCCGGTTCACACGTGTCTCCGTTTTACTGTTCCGTTTTATCGTGTACGTTTTTTTTGTCGATGGCGTATGTAGTTGTATGAGCGACTTCACACATGACACAGTATTCTGTATACATAGTACACGATAAAACGGGACAGTAAAACGGAGACATGTGTGAACCGGCCGTTAGGCAGTACGATTTCTCCAACTTATTTTAAAAATGTATCTCGTCAGAAAATTTAATATGCGTATAATTCCCCAGCAGCAAACAGCCGGGTCTGGTGAGCCGGCTGTACGGAGGCATGCAATGCTCCGGCTGCGGCGCGCGCTTCCCGCCCGAGCACACTGTGCGCTACTCACAGCACCTGGACTGGCACTTCCGCCAGAACCGCCGCGACCGGGACTCGGCGCGCCGTGCCCACTCGCGGCACTGGCATTACGACTTGTCCGACTGGCTGCAGTACGAGGAGGTCGAGGATTTGGAGGAGAGAGGTCAGTACTGTCATAAACATCACCCGACACCAGTCTTCTGCAAACCATTGCTGCCAGAATATAAAAATTCCAGAATCGCAGCATTTATTATTTGTCGGCCGTTTGGTGTAGTGGTTCAGAACGGACTACTATGCCAAGAGGTCCCAGGTTCGATTCCCGGCCGGGCAGAAATTGAAATGATGAATTTAAATTTTCTGTGAGGGGTCTGGATGTTACTATGTATAATATGTATGTATTTAAAAAAAGTATATAAGTAGTATATCCGTTAAACTAGCACTACAACACGAGCATTAAGTTGCTTACTTTTTTGGGGCTAACTGGCGCTGTATGAAATTGTCCAAAGATTTATTTATTTTATTTATTTATGTCAGCGACGTTAGTTCGTTTACGGATCTCCTCATTTGTGATTCAATCTTGTAATAACACTGAACGTAGCCTATAGTGAGAGGCTACGATTCCGAGCCGTATATCATCAGTGGTAACTGGCCTTCTCAGTAAGGTTTTTTCATCACAGATCGCACTTGTGCACTTTGAGTTAGGTGATAATGAAGTGTCCCATTTTAAAAATGTAACTTTCCACTTTTATTTATCGTGGGAGTAGTAACAACAGCCTTTTCAAGGCGAGAGTGAATATTATGCACTTACTGGGCAGATTTGTACCATCCTAGACTGCATCTCACTTAACACCAGGTGCGATTGCGGTCAAATACCTGTCTTATCATGTATAAAAAAAACTGAAGTGACAATCTGAGACTTCATGAGCATCCAACATGGGTCAATTGAATCCGTGACTAAACATACCTTCCGAAATACGAAGTCATTATTACTTATTGCCTAAGTGGTAATAAAATAAGGTTAATTAATTTTTAGTCTGCACTCTGTATTAATTTTAACTGTGGAAACTTTGCTGATTTCTGTCCTATTTTTTGTGTGATTATTTGTCTGTATATCAAAATTGTTTGTTTCCCTAATATAAATAAATAAATAAAAAGTCTCTTAATTGGTGTAGCACCACATGGTAACCAGAACAACCCAGTCTAACAATCCTCTCTTACTGTTCTTTTTCTATAAATAGTACATCATGTACCTCATGAAAACTCTCATAAAACTCATAAAAAAACCTCCATCCCCCTACAGAAAAGAGCTGGTTCGAGACAGCCGGCGCGGAGCAGACGGAGCCGCCGGAGCCGGCTGGCGAGGCGCCGTCGGTGGCCGCGGGCGCGCCAGCTGAGAGCACGTGCGCGCTGTGCGGCGACGCCTTCCAGCAGTTCTACAACGAGGACAAAGAGGAATGGCATCTACGCAACTCTGTCAGGCACGATGGGAATAATTACCATCCGATGTGCTTGGACGACTATAAGGTACGGTAACATCTTCGTCATTTTGACTAAATTCGGTGTAAAAAGTTTGTCGGCCGTTTGGTGTAGTGGATTCCGGAGGTAGCGGGTTCGATTCCCGCACAGTACAAACATTTGTGTGCATGAACATATTTGTATTGGACTGGGTGTTTTCTATGTATAATAAGTATGTGTTTACAAAAAAAAAAGTATTTAAGTATGTTTATATCCGTTGTCTAGTACCCATAGTACAAGCTTTGCTTAGTTTGGGACTAGAAGCGCAGTGTAAAATGTCTAAGGATAATTATTTGCAGGTTCAGGCTGCGCTAAAACCTTATTTCTCGCTGCTAAGGGATTTGGCAACATACAAACAAAAAGTATTTACCTTCCCGACGTTTCAACTCGGTTAACGGGTCATGGTCGCGGGCAGACCTTTTTAAATTATGTTGCCCGTATTAGTGAGAATTTAATCAAAATACAACATAAAAGTTCTAAATATTACGATAAAACCTTATCAAAGCATTTATCGACAACCCCTTTGTTTCTAACACTTCTTCTCTTGGCCTTCTTCGTTTTGGCGCATATTCTGGCTCGGCAGGTCAGAAATCTCCACTACTGCAGAAGAACCACTTATTTTATTTACTAGAGGCAAAATAGAGGACATTTTTTATTGCGCTGCTTCTTCTTAGTACTGGCCCATTTATTGTCCTAAAGCAGTGGTAGTGTTAATACTGAGATGTGTAAAAGTGCTTTTTAAAAGCCTACTTGCATAAATAAATGAGTTTTTAAGATACGTCCGGTTGCAGATTGTGAATAATGTCGTCGGATATATTTCCTTCTGAAAGATATTTTTTATTTTTCTATCTGTAAGTGAAATAGTGATTACAAAATTAGCTTAGTTTTGTCCATGTCCTATATCCATGACTAAACACGTCCCGTCCCACAGGCGTCGCTCACAAAAGAGGAGCCCCCCAAAGAGGAGACACCTGCAGAGGTGCCAGTGGAGACCAACGAGGACCCCATCGAGGTTCTGGATGCAGACGACAACGTGGATTCCGACGCAGAATCCGTCGTGGAGGTCGTCACCGAGCCACTGCCGGAACCCGTCGAGGTTAGTACACATTCTGATAGAAAGACTTATGGGGGTTATTTGCCAACAACCCACCATATATTCTACTCGGAATCCTATTCCGATTCTTAATCGTTAAGATTATTGTTAGGCAGGAAATCCTACCTTAGGAAGAACTCGGTGGAAGGAAAAATATTATTAGCGGATTGGAAATTATATTTAACAACAGGAATAGCAAGGGATTGATTAGGATACAATTATAGCAGTAAAATTATTTAAATCTTAAGAGCAAAGCGATCGCGGAAGAAGTGTCACGACGACATATTTCAAATTCTCTTCAATGGCGATGAGTGAGCGGAGAACGGTGACCGGCGTTGAAGCGAGACGGCAGCATACGTCTTCACGGGTGTGCGAGTGACGCAGACGTATTGTGAAGGCCGCAGCACGCATGCGCGAACCATTCGGTCATGTTCAGTCAGGTCGGGGCTGGCCCAATTTCATAGGCGGAAGCGGATCGCTCCCAAATCTAAGGCGGTGGTCCAAGCTAGGATTGTGGCGGATAGCCGCCGCAGACTATTCCCACCTCTCGTTCCCACCGCTTCTAATCCTGTGTAACCAGGATCTCCAGCTTGACTGCCAATAAAAACCCAACCAGTGAAGGTTAAGTTTGTCCCGGGGGAAAGTTACTGTCATTGGACCCACAACGTAATTAGAAAAACATAAGAGGAGTTCGAAGTTGAGGTTCGACTTACTTTGATAGCTTTGTTATTCAATCATAAAAGCCATGTGTGGATCACGATCTGGTAAAACTTGTGGGAAGTACCTGGATGCGGACAGGGCAGGACCGGTCGTTGTGGAGTTCCTTGGGGAGGCCTTTGTCAGTTCTTTAGCAGTAGACGTCATTTGAATGAAATGAACGAAAAAGCCATGTACTTTCTACAATTGGGATTTTTAAATGTCCCCGGTATTATGCAGTAACTAAACTCTTGATTAGATATTTATTTATTTATAGTCAGTAACCATTAATTGGATAAGGGTTCATCTAAACTGATATCTTTATTTGGAAAAAGATATGCATAGACTTGCAACTAAATAAGGTGTCATAGCGTTTACCTTGTGTGCTCTCGTCTGTACATTGAGAGCATATGGGAGCCTACTTGATCGTGGATCCTAGGCAAGTGCTCAAGAGTTCTCAGTGGGAAAGAGGGGCCTGCGCCCTTTTTAAATCAAGCTAAGTCCAATAACGTCCAAAATTCACGGTCTAACCTATTCCCGCAGATCGACGAAGGCGACGAGGACGACGTGGTGTTCAAGGCCGAGCCGGTGGAGGAGGTGGTGGTGCAGGACGACGCCGACACCGACGACGAGACCGCCGACACGCGCCGCGAGCGCGACCGCCAGGCGCAGCTCGACTTCCACAACGTGAAGATCAAGCAGGAGCCTATTGACCCAGGTTAGAACTGCTTTTGATAGAAAAATAGTTAAAAAGAAACAGTAAAACATCTCTTACTTGATTCTGTTGACTGTCAGAATGTTAAGATCAAGCAGGAGCCTATTGACCCAGGTTAGGACTGCTTTTAATAAAAAAAAGAAATAGCAAAAATAAGAAGACGACCTCATAAAGGTAGCGGGAAAGCGCTAGATGCAGGCCGCCACTAACCGTCCATTGTGGAAATCATCGGGGGAGGCCTATGTTTAGCAGTGGACGTCCTATGGCTGAAATGATGATTATGAAAAAAATAAACAGTATAGTCTGGTCCGTGAGCACGTAGAATTTTGTCCAATGACCCCAAGCTACCTATCCTTATTGCTCGCGCGTAATTATGTTGCTATCGCGCTCGCACACTCACTGCGGGTGCCAGTCGCACAGTCGCGACAGCAATATAATTAATTACGCGCGAGCGATAAGGATGGGTAGCTAGGGGTCATTGGCCAAAATTCTACGTGCTCACGGACCGGGCTTTAGAACATCTCGACTTGATTCTGTTGACTATCAGAATGTTAAGATCAAGCAGGAATCTATTGACCCTGGCTAGTGCTGCTTCTGATACTATTGACTATTAGTATGCTAAGATCTATTGAAACTGGTTGGTGTTCTTTTTGATTTTGTTAGCGTGTAGCTGATCTTGGTTAGCGTTAGTATTTCACCTTTACAGCACTTGGGTCCATAACAATAAAAATAAAGCTCCAAACTAGATTCAATCTCTAGCATAGATTAGGTTGAATATTTAGAGCTCATCCTCTACCCTTCCAAATACCAACTGTAAAAGAGTAACGCAAGTGACAAACTAACTTACAACATTATGCAATTTCCAGACGACGAGCCAGTGATAACGGCGGAGGAGCTGTCCCCTCAGCCGACGATCGACACGACTCACACCACGGTCCTGTCGTCCATCGACGGTAACCTACAGCTCGACAGCGCGCCCGCCACCGCGCCCGTAACCGGCGGCATTCGCATCAACATCTCCAAGTCAATACCTGCCCCGGCGCCCGCCGATCGCTTGGATGACGTCAGCGCGGATGACGAGCCCCTCCCGCCCGGGGAAGAACCAGAACTCGAGTACACCCTCAAACCCGCCCTCCAAGGCCGCCGACTCAGCCGCCAACCACCCGTCATGAAGGGCAACGAACTCTCCGGACTGTGCTCCATTATGTGAAGTGTGCGTGAACTGTGAAGTGTTAATTTACGGCTATACTTAACTTTCTAACCGAATTGACTTTTGTACGACAATTAATGGATTATTTAGAATATCATCTAAAATATGTTTTCTTCGGACAACCCTTGGGTGCAATGATTATGGTATGAATGAAGTGACTATGAATTTTTTATGTAAATACATTGNTACGAATGAAGTGACTATGAATTTTATATGTAAATACACTAGGGTGGTGGGTTCGAGTCCTACTGCGAGTTATGATACTGCTGTGACTTAAAGTAAACTACACAAGACTAACATTAACGGTTATATTATAAGCATTTTCTAAGTGGTAGCCTTACATCATGTAAATACCGTATATTGAAATGTTATAGGAATTTGCATTTTCATAATTACCTATATTTTTTCAAGTAGTAAGCTTATCACTTGTGTGTGATAGTTATAGTAATGGAATTTTTGGTGGTTTTAACGGAATGTTAATTGGGTTTGAAAAGGTCTTTGTAAACGCGCAATAATTTTGGTTGCTTTACCTTATGATGTGTCTTGAATTAATCTTAATTTTTAGTGGTAGGTCTCGTAAACTTATCAGGAACGTAGTTCCGTCAATTACCTGAATGTAGTGCTTAAGATAATTATAACATATTTTACAAATGTGATATTAAAGTTAAGTTCCTGACGTACTAGCATCGAAATACGCTCTTTTCACAGTAACATTTGTGTAATATATTTTGTAAATACGTAATGCCAAGTGTAAAGTGTAATATAATGTTAATTTTTGTATAACTTACAAAATCTAGCAAATATCAGGTTCGAGCTACGCATGTACTTGGGCGAATCTCGTTTGATTACCGCAGGGAATGAAGCAGGTTGTTTATAATTTAGCATAATGTCTGTTTACTTTATAATTTATTGTATATAGCGGATCAAACAAATTGATGGTGATACAAAGTATTTGTGTATCAATTGAGAAGCAGTTATTTGTTTCGTTTTAGTCAATTTGTATGTTATTTAGATGATAAAATGTTACAAAAATCACAAAAACATTGGTTTTGTTTTCAATAAATCACTGAAACTTTAAACTTTCTTTTAATTTTCTTGTCTTTGTTTGTATATCTGTACTATTCTATTGGAGGCTCAATAAATTATCTTCATGATAACAAGAGTGTTGTTTTACTTAATTCTACCTAAATAATTATTATGAGATAAGTTATTATTATGCAGCAGATGATATAAATACAATACATAGGTAAAATTTGTTGGTAAAAATATTTCATAGTTCTATCTAACTGAAATCAAACATTTCAATTTTCAATTACAGCATTGATAAATTAATTGCTGGGATAGTCTTACCCAAAGAATAGTCTCTCACCGCCTTGTAGGTATCTGCTGCGTTGCAAAACAAACAGATTCACGTGCAGAGTGAGTGGTCATAAAGTTTGTTCCATTCGGGAATGTCAAGCTAGAGGTCACTCTAGTCCGCATACACAGGGCACTATGCTAGCTAAAATAAAATTCCACAACATAGACCTATAATTGTAATAATCCATGTTAATAATAGCCAAATAGTAAGCTTAATCAAAAAAGAAACTATAGCATCGCTAATGCTAATACTACTTGAATAACGCGTTCGTACGTTTCACAGGCGGGGTGACTTTCAGCGCCGTAACTACGCAATACATAAAATTCAGTATTCATAGAAATTCACATTCTTGCGAGCTTACGTATGCGAATGTAGCTGTCTCATCTGCATTCTAGCTTGTTTGTTCATATAAATAAGGTCAATATGCGAAAGATAATAATCCTGTATTACTAGACTGGTTTCACTCATCACATGCTTTGTGTAAGTGAAAAATAAAAAGTACACTTGCGANATAACAAGTGTTGTTTTACTTAATTCTACCTAAATAATCCTACTAATATTATAAATGCGAAAGTTTGGATGTCTGGATGTTTGTTACTCTTTCACGCAAAAACTACTGAACGGATTTTGATGAAACTACAGTATTATTGTTTATAACCCAGAATAACATATGGGCTATAATTTATGACGATCTGTGACAAACGAAATTTCACGCGAGTGAAGCCGCGGTTTGCAGCAGATGATAGGTAAAAACATTTTATGGTTCTATCTAACCGAAATCAAACATTTCAATTTTCAATTACAGCATTGTTAAGTTAATTGCTGGGCTGAGATAGTCTTCTTACCGCCTTGTAGGTTGATGCTGCGTTGCAAAACAAACAGATTCACGTGCAGAGAAGAGGTCATCAAGTTTGTTCATTCAGGAATGTCAATTTAGAGGTCACTAGCCCGCATACAAAGGGTATGCTAGCTAAAATAAAATTCTACAACATAGACTAGACTAGAACATACCTATAAAATTTTAAGTAAGTTTAATCAAAAAAGAAACTTTAGCATCGCTAATTAATGCTAATAAATACTACTTGAATAACGCGTTCGTACGTTTCACAGGCGGGGTGACTTTCAGCGCCATAACTAAACTACGCAATAAAATAAAATTCAGTATTCACAGAAATTCTTGCGAACTTACGTATGCGAATGTAGCTGCCTCATCTGCATTCTAGCTTGTTTGCTCATATAAATAAGGTCGTTTATGCGAAAGATAATCCTGTATTACTAGACTGGTTACACTCTTCGGTTTATAACTGACGTGCTTTGTGTAAGCGAAAAATAAAGTAGTTGAGGAGACTGATGCCTAACAATGCAATTAAAAACTTATACTCAAGGCCTGTATGCAGTAGGGAGAATTAAAAGTACACAAAATAATTTAACAATTTATTAATGATTTATATCTGTACAACAATAATTTAAAATCTACTTAATACTATTTACATGTCACAGTTATGTGGCCACCGAGGGAATGGCAAAGTATCCTTGATGTTAGGAACTCCGCACATCACTTGCAGTAGCCTCTCCAGGCCCAGCCCAAAGCCCCCTGTGGGTATGTTGCCGAATTTTCGAAGTTCCAGGTACCAATTGAGCTTTTCTGAGGGTAGTTTTAACTTCAGCTTGTCATAGTTGTCTTCCCTGAGACTGCCTCCCACTATCTCACCAGTGATTGGGGCTAACAGATCCAGAGCATCCACCTGCAAAGAAAAAAATTCAATGAATTAGTTTCATTCACTTGCTGCATTTTGAGTGTGTATCATTGACAATATTCTAAAAAGTAATTTAGGAAACCGTCTTACCTTTGAACTATCATCATCACATTCTTTCATATAAAATGATTTCATGTCTTTAGGCCATCTCACAACAAACACTGGTATCCCATTGCAGTGATCAACTAGTGCCAGCTCTTGCTCTTTATTTATTCCTTCCTCTGTGTCTGCTATTCCTTTTTTCTTTAAAATTCCTTTTGCCTCATCATAGGACATAGTTACAAACTCTTTGTCAATCCAATTTAGGACCTTGGCCTTTTCTTTATCAATCAAAAACAAGTCTGCTTCATTGGAATCCCTAGTTTTTGTAAATACATATTTAAGTAAATCCTCTATACAGAACTGCAACTGGTTTAGACTATCACAGAAAGCTAGCTCTGCTTCTAACATGTAGAACTCTGATAAATGCAACCTTGATCTGGAATTCTCAGCTCTAAATGTAGGCCCTAAGGTGTACACATTGCCCATTCCTCTGCATACTGCTTCCAGATGAAGCTGGCCAGATACTGTCAAAAAAGTCTTTGCGCCAAAGTACACAGAGTCTCTATCTCTTCCCTCCTGCATCATGGCCTTGACAGTCTCATCGTTATCAGGCTGCACTTTGAAGACCTCTCCAGCCCCTTCACAGTCATTTGATGTCAATATTGGGGTGTGAATGTGTATATAGTTTCTAGATGCAAAAAACTCATTTATGTGCTTAGATACGGCATGTCTTACTCTCAGTATGGCCGAAATATAGTTCGTTCTGGATCGTAGGTGTAGGTATTGGCGGATGTACTCTGGAGGATGGGTAGTCCGGGGGTTGAATGGATAGCCGTCCAAGACCACACAGCTGCCTAGGACACGCACGCTCTCGGCGACCAGCTCGAGCTGTCCCTTGGGACTCTTGGACAAAGTACCCGTGACATGAACGGAGCTACCGTAAGTCAACGCATCGGTTTTGAGATGTCTTGGTATGACTGTTTGTAATTTTTTTGCACAAGTACCATCGCTAATATCGGCAAATACGAGTTCTTTTTGGACTCGTAAATTTCTCACCCAACCCTGAAATAAATGTTCAAATTGTTAGATAATTTAAATAATGTAAAAAAGTGCAAAAATAATCAATAGAATAATTTGACTGAAATAACCTTAATTTCAGTAGTGTCCCCGACGTTAAACTTATCCAATACATTAGCAATTGCACTAAAATTCCTATGGGATTCATAGAATTTGTAGTATTGGGCATATTTATTGATAAATATTTTTTTTATCATTTTCAATCAATTTCACACATAACCTAAAACTTTTAAATGTCACCGCGAATGAAATGTAACGAAACGGCAAGTGTCAGATTGAGATTCTCTGATAAAAATCAGTAAAAATTGTTTTCATTTATCATAACGAAACGCAGATTGAAGGCAAGTGTAATGCAACGGCTATAAAAGGGGTGAATAACACATACACTGCTTTACGTGGCTTTAGAACTGGCAACTCCGTGGATCTATCTGTCAAAGTCAGTCATTTTCATTTGGCAAATCATGCATGTTCGATTTGATTGCGTTGGGTTCTTATTTCGTGCAATTTAATTGGTTTTAATTGTAATTAACGTGATTAATAGATAGAATTGAATGTAAGTTATCCATGTTATATAAGTGATACGCAGTATTCTAAGATTTTTTAAGAGACACTCTCACAAGTTGTAGCGATTCATACTCGTAGTTTTACAGCGTATAATTAAACATAGAAACAGGTTTTCCTTCTAGCGAAGTCCTTGATTTTCATATTATGCTAATTGTTGATGATATTGATGTCATATAAAGGTTTTTATATCAAGCTAGTAACGGTACTTTAGTATTTTTTGTATGACCCATTAATCTACTTATTTGGCCAAAGAAATTCGTAACTTTCTACTCGATCAATTTCTCTCGCTTCTTAATTTACGTCGGCGCTGTGTGGTTGTTATTATACGTAAAAGCTATTGTTTAGTTCCAGTAACATGTTCTGAACCAGTCATGGCATAATTTGACCTCTTATCTGTTGTATTATCATTATGATAACAGTCAATCTTTGCTGTTGATAAAGTGTTCATTTATTTTTTATGGAAGTACAACTCTTAATGTTGTAAAATTATGAAAATATAAAGTTTTTGTACTTGCCATATTATTTTGATCAGATACAGGCAGGCACAAGTATTTTCTAGTTACCTATCCTAACACAAAGTAATGTACACAACCTCTCCATAGTAAATCAAATAACCTATATTTAATTTTGTCATCTTTTAGAATGAATATTTTTTTATTTTTACAAAACTATGTAAAACTTTCACATTCCTCATTCAGATTGTTCTTTGCAGATTATGGCAGACCAAAACCCACAAGCAGGAGACACGGGTCCCCCGAAGGGCATCCCAGCGCTGAAGGCCCATGTGGCCGCCAATAAGATTGACGTGGCCCTGTGGGGCATCCGGCTGCTCACTGTCTTGTGCACAATAGGATATGTCTTACCTTTATTCAATAAGTAACTATATTTTACATTGCTTCAGCTTAAAGACATGCTTTGTTTTACTGTCTAGTTGTAAATGTACACCACTTAACACCAGGTGCAATTGTGGTCAAATGCCTGCCTTGTTATGCATAAAAAAAATATTGAAATTTAACAATGCTTTTGTATCCATCCAGCACAAATTGTAAAAATATTGGAAAGTTAAATTATGATTTACAAAGTTTAAGTAATATGTACTTTAGATTTATAATTACTTAGCTTAAAAACTTATTATACTGTTGCAAAATAATAAGTTTTGTAACAAATCAAAATGTAATTTTAGTAATAACTAATCTTAAGGTTACACTTTGAAATTAATTTACACAGACAGTGAGTCTTGTTTTAGTCTTTAATGATAGCCATAGATGGGCTAATGAATGAAAATGAAAAAGTGAATGCAAGAAAGTTGCATGATTTAATGTCAACTAATCTGAAGACCCAATTTGTTAATTGGGTCTAACCACATTGTTATGTGTAAAAGTGTTTATTTTTGTTCAATGTGTGGAATTGAGACTGCCTACTTCACCAGTATTAGAGCTCTGGGATTAGTTCGTGTGTCACCCTGCCTGTGTCTCCACGCGCACTGTGAACCTCATAGTAATGTTTGAATATGGGTGTCAGCTAACTATTTTATTCGGCTGAAATATTATTGGGTTTTTTTTTCTTGATTGTATTTCAAACCACAACCTTTGCCCCCAGCCCAGTGTCGGCCTTCTACAAGGCGCTGCTCGGCAACGCGGCGACGTCGGCGCTCCGCCTGCACCAGCGGATCCCGGCGCGCGAAATCTCCCTCTCCCGGGAATTCCTGGCGCGGTTCTTCCTGGAGGACTCCGCTCACTACCTCTTCTACTCGCTGATATTCATGAACGTGGCGCCTAACTTGTGTATCCTTTACAATACTAACTTTAACTTTCATAAATTCTTCACTGAATCACAGAAAAAAACATTAGAAGCCCACTTACAACGAAATTTTCGCCCTTGTCGCTTTTTTTACTTTACTTATTTATTCAAACTTTAATGGTACATTAGGCGAACTTAATGCCATAGTCATAGGGCATTTCCTGCCCTTCCTAATCGTGGTTATAAGGTGCGATTTTGAAACAATATTGTATAATTTGATGTTTGTTAACAGTAGATATTATCATCATCATTTCAGCCATAGAACATCCACTGCTGAACATAGGCCTCCCCCAATGACTTCCACATCGCACGGTCGGTAGCTGCCTGCATCCAGCGCCTTCCTGCTACCTTTATCAGGTCGTCGGTCCACCTTGTGGGTGGACGTCCCAACAGATACTTTCGACATTTACTTTACTACATCTTATTTATGGTATCTCATCGCAGTAGTGTGGCCAAGGATTGTAGTTGTGCATTGCAAGTGTTTGCAATACACCAACCTTGAATCTCCTCGTTAAATTGACAACACATTGAGAGCATAAATAGGTAATTAACTTTTATTGTTCAATTGACATATGTTTACGACTTGAAAACAAAAACAAGATAATTGGAAATACATGCTTCACGCAGTTTACGCAGGAATTCTGAAGTAGAAATCCGCATAGAAGTTTTGATTTATGTACAAGTACTTGAAATATCTTTATAAAAAAAAATAGACTACAAAGTTCACCATTTAACTGTTAAATTTTAACTATTACATCTGACGTATGGAGATGGAAATTAATATTTTTGTCAGGGATTTTACCATTATGATGAATATTTAAAAGTTTTCCTCGATATTGTTACTATGAACAGGGCAAAGTTTAATTTACCAGATTTAATTTTAACTTTACATCATGAGACATTTTAATTTTATGTTCACGTCAAATGACGTCATTGCAGTCGACTGACAATGATTTGATTTTGTGATTCGCAGGGGCGTATGCTAAGCCCTTGAGCTTGGTTATTGCCTCCAATTATAACAGTGAAGGTTTTTGACCTTTTTGCAGTCACTGACTACTGTATGAATTTCTATAATCTTTAGATAGATTTAAATATCTCCCTGTCCGATAAGGACCCCAGAGCCTATCGTTATGAAGGTATTCTAACCTGGGATCTGATAAGAATAACCTCACAAGTCTTACAACAAGAACATGATGTAAAAATACAACTCCATTTCATTTGCGCCAGCCGCCAGTTGTATATTTTTTTACTTCGTGTTTATTGCATAAACTTGTTTATTTTAAGCAAAATTTTCCGGTATGAAAGAGGTCGCGGCAAGTATTATTTTTAATACTGAGCCGATATTTATATAGCCGCTTATTTTGTATATCGAATGAATGCGAGCGCAATCGTGAAAATGTTCTGCAGTATCCAGTCGTAATTCATTAGAATAATAATTATTCATTGACCAGTTAAAAACATTATGAAGCTAAGCTAGTTAGACAATATAAATACATTTGTAAATATTACAATCATGTTTCCATTAGTATCTTCGGAATTCGTATTGGATAATTTACACAAACTCAAGGTCGCTTACCTCGTAGGTAGTTGTGGTGCGCGTCAATAATGTTTGTATTCTGACCTACCTACTGACCTGCTTGGTTATGAAGAATTGATTATTATCGGTGGAATAACACGAGTTTTACTTGTATCCAACGACTCCCAATCGTTAACTAGGTCATCGGTCCACCGGGTGGCTTATCCTCTATACTAGTGGTTGGTCTTTGCCGGCTCTCCGCATGGGGTCTTAGATTCCGTTTCGGATGGAAAATTAATTTGGTGCTTTATTTTAAAACCCTTATGAATAAGTACAATTTCCTCAAAGACTCAAAAAAAAAAAATGGTGTCTAAGCTACTCCACTACCACCGAGGTCGTCGTATAAAAACGAAAGTTTTAGTGGCTCTTTTAAGAACTGTTTTCTCTTTATTTTGTTCCTTTTAGCCTACAGACTCTTTGTCGACCGATAGTTGGGTCGGGCCTAGGCGCAGACCACCAACTTTTTGTCGGACGATAGTTGGGTCCGATTATAATTTGTATGAAGAATCGGCCGATACCAATGTGCGCACTTGTGTATAAGTGTGCACATTACATCGATTATAATTTCTTAGCAGTTCCGTCTCAAAAGATGGCTACCCCTAAAACCCCTGCGTTATATTATTTTGAATACTATGATTCCTTGACTCGTCGCAGTGATCCTGACGCCCATTTTCCTGTTCGCGCTCTTGCACGCCGCCTCCTACTCGCTCACCATTCTTGATGTAAGTATGCAGATTTTGCTTATTTAAGGAAAACGACTGAACACATAATCTAACCATTGGTTCCCAAAGTGGGGGGCGCGCCCCCCAGGGGAGGCGCAAAGACCTTTAAAGGGGGCGCGGGCTATCTGTGTACTTAAGTATAAAAAACCTGCGACCGCTGAGAGAATGCATTCCAGACTGCTCGATACGACCAATAAATAATCTTGACTGGAGGAGGGGGGCGCGAAATTTTTGTAAGGTCGAAAGGGGGCGCGTCTCAAATAAGTTTGGGAACCAATTTCTAAACTTTAGATTATGTCCTAAACCGTTTAAATGGCAAAAGCCACGCGCAGAGTCGCTTATGCCTCTTCAGCGTAGATTTACGCAGACTCTAAAGTAATGTAGTTTGAGCTACCACAAGAGTGGGTATTGTGGAGATTCTGTAGTTTTGTTCCTTGCTCTTCGCTGGACTAGTTACAATAAAACACAGGCTAAATATAGCAATTAAATTACACGCACAGTTAAATTGCAACCGTCACAGAACAGACAATTACAGCAATCTAGCTGTTACAGTAATAACGCCATGGCGTAACGGTAGCGTGCCATTCTTACACATTTATGGTATCTCGACGCTTGTCCGAGTTTTGTGAGAAGTTAACATTTAACTAACTACATATTAAGGCGCGGCGCACGCGCACACGAAACTTTTGTCACCGTGACAGTATATCTCTCCATAGATAAGAATAAGATTTGTAAGTTGTCTCTTTTTCTCTTTATAAAAGTGTAAAAGAGAATGATATACAGTCACGATAACAAAAAGTCACCCATGCGAGCATAGCCTTATATTTTTGGGGTCAATTTCTTTTTCTGACTTTCACATAATAAACTAGCATCGCTCTACACGTCTAAATTAGGGATGCTTATGAATTTAACTCGTGTTCATCAAGCTAAGTCGCGGGCAACAATTGGTTATGTAACATATAATTAGTTGTAATTTGCGTGGTTTCCGCACTTGTCAGTTGGGTGACTATCACCGTAACCGGACGAGGCGGGAAGTGTACCAACTGAGCCAGAACTTTTTCTAATCTGGACTGGAATAAATCCTCTAATTATAAACTGACCAATTAAAAACCGTATGCAAAACGTCGTAATTTATTTTTCGTCGTCATCATCAGTACTAGACAAGAGGCACTTTTTGATCGAATCCATTCACGGAGCGATGTAACGCCATACAAAAAAACCCCAGAGCTCATGTCAGGGCATGTATGGGCAGGTCCAGTTAAAGAGCAGATTCGATCAACATCGGTGCGGTCACTTATATGAAAATAAGGAATCTAATCCTTTTTTTAAAGGAATTGTACGAGTTTTTATAAGAACAAAATTCGTATAACTACCAATAGATGGCGCTGTGGTCACTTAGCTTGCGCAAGTGAAGTATTTCGTGGGACCTTTATACAGTAAAATCTGTGTGTATGAAATTGACTATCTTGGGAACAATATTGTTTGCGAAGTTTTTTTTATTTATTTTTTTATTCTCTTTTTACTACAATCTGTTGCCTTGCTGGAACATTGAGTAGTATGTTTGTTGGGATATGTCATGTCTTGCTCGATATGTGGCCTGTGTCACATCCTACTTCACTTTATTGGGTTTTAAGTGTGTCCTGTGGAGTTTTTCGTTTGTGAAGTTGGCTTTTATTTAGCAAGGCGACCTAGCATTCCCTCGACTGGACCTGTAGGCCTCGGATGCGCGCCGCTATAAGCGGTTATCACGCCATTTTATCGATTTTGCTCATACATTTTGACGTCGATAAAGTATATCACGGCGCGCATCCTAGCCCGGCTGGGTTGTGTACAGGAATCAAGGTTTCAAAATGTGTTGTATTTCAGACGCTCGGCCAGAACTCGATGTGGGTGGCGCGCTTGCTGATCTCGCTGGTGGAGTTCCAATCGCGCAACATTCTGCGCGCCGCCGCGCTCGCCGAGATCGTGCTGTTCCCCGTCGTCGTGCTCATGGCGCTGTTGTGAGTACACCATCGTTTGTGCTTTGTTTTAGTAGGCGTCTACTGCTGCAATGGCAAGCCGGAAGGATTTCCACGGGCGGTCAAACAAATACGTCCACTGCTAGAAGAATGTCCCAAGGATTTCCACAACGACTTTTCTTGCACTGCGTGAATCCAGGCGCTTCCCGTGACTTTCAACAGATCCACCAAGGCCTGCCTACACTATGTCTTTCGTTTTACGCTTCTTTCAACAATTCACCTTTACTTCCAAAGGTCTTCCCAAAAGATTTCTACGACGGGTCCTATGCTGCTTGCATTCAGGCGCTTCCCGTGACCTTCATCAGATTTTCGGTCCACCGAGTTTGCTGGTCTTTCGGTCGGTGATCCGCCACTCGAGAACTATTCTGCTCCAACTGCCTTGAGATTAGTTGAGATCTTATTGGTTATGCAGCTGCGATTAGGCGACAGTAAAGTTTTCCTGAGCTCTTAAATATTGGTCCTTCGAGCCGGATATGAACTAGCATCCTAAGGATTTTTATTACATCACATTTGACGACCTTCCAATATGTTTGCAGCGCGTACTGCAGTCTGCTGACGCCGTTCGTGTACTACTACTTCGTGACGTGGCGCTATGCGTCCCGTCGCAATCCTTACACGCGCAACACCTTCCACGAGTTGCGAGCGCTCGCCGACCGCACCGCCGCGCGCCAGTCGCTGCCCGCGCCGCTGCGGTCAGCCATCGCTGCTGCGGTCACGTTGGTCTGCCGCATGGCGCCGCCGCTTGAAGCCGCTGCTCAGTGAGTGTCCCTATACACACAGTACTACAGTACACACAGTACTACAGTACACACAGCTCGCCGACCGCACCGCCGCGCGCCAGTCGCTGCCCGCGCCGCTGCGGTCTGCTATCGCCGCTGCGGTCACGTTAGTCTGCCGCATGGCGCCGCCGCTTGAAGCCGCTGCTCAGTGAGTGTCCCTANATGGCATAACGGTAGCGTGCAATAGGCTAGTTGCCTAAAAAAATTTTTTTAGTCCGTAATGTTTAATATCAAAAAATATTGGACACATATATTTTTATTTGTCAATCTAACAAATAATTACATAGTTATGGTGCGTTGAAGTTGCGCACGACGTCACAACGTGCGGCATTTTTAAGCAAGCGTTGACGTCACGGGCCTCTTCATATGAACTTTGGGGCGCTTTATCTCTTTAAATTTTCATTAGTTTGAAAAAGTGAAAAATACGTGTAGAGTATTTTTTGATAAGTTAACTGACGGACTAATTAAAACTCTTGCTTTTTGACCCAGGCAACATCCCCATTATACCGCCATTCTTACACATTTACCATAAATGTGTAAGAATCTCGACGCTTGTCCGAGTTTTGTCAGGAGTTAACATTTAACTAACTATAATAATATAGTATTTAGGCGCGGCGCACGCGCACTGGTGAATTTTGTCACCGTGACAGTACTTATGTCTTTCCATAGTCAAGGATAAGTACTATGTACGTTGTCTCTCTTATTCTCTTCATAAAAGTGTAAAAGAGAAAGATTTACTGACACTGTGACAAAATTCACCAGTGCGAGTATAGCCTTATATTTTTGGGGTCAATTTCTTTTCTGGCTTTCACATAATAAACTAGCATCGCTCTACACGTCTAAATTAGGGATGCTTATGAATTTAACTCGTGTTCATCAAGTCGCGGGCAACAATTAGTTACGTAACATGTAATTCGTTGTAATTTGCGTAGTTTCCGCATTTGTACTGTTGAGTACCAGCGTGACTGCACGAGGCGGGAAGTGTAGCAACTGAGCCACAACTTTTCCTAATCTCGACTAAGATAAAGCTTCTATTTATTACAAAGTGAACAATTTGAGAACCTCCTCCTTTTGTTGAAGTCGGTTAAAAACGGCGTAAAATATATTTTTTTCATCGTCATCATCACTAGGTCCACTTATGGAGCAAATGGAATTAACATCGGTCACTTATATGCAAATAAGGCTCAATTTCCACCAAGGCGGAGCGGAGAGAAGTGTTTTGAATAACCAATCAGATTTCATTATTTCCGCTGTCAAATTCTATAGAAAAATTAGTCCGCCCGACACATTTTTGCTCTGCTCCGCCTTGTGGAAACCGGGCCTAAGGAATCCTTTATTTTGAACTTGCGACCTGCCGCGACTTCGTACGGGTGCCAAGTATACATTAATGCTTCCTTTTAAATCACTATCTATTTTAAAAAAACCGCAGCAAAATCCATTGGGTAGTTTAAAAAATCTAAGCATACAGGGACGGACAGCGGAAAGCGACTTTGTTTTATACTATGTAGTGACAGCAGAGTAAATACAAATGAGTAGGTCATCTTCATAGAAACGCACCGAGCGCGATTTGTATGTGAGCGCGCCAATAGGTAACGGCGCAACACCCCGCTAATCCACGCTAAATGGCAATGCCAGATTTTGTATGGAAGGTGGCGTCTTTTTTTTTTCGCGCGGCCATCGACCAAACTTTGTTTTTTGATTTCAAAATAGTGTTTTAAACCAAACTTACTATGGCATGTATACCTCTAAACTCAGTCTGAACTGAGTTACGAGCATTAGAAGTTTAATTATTTTCATACTAGATTTGCTTTTTGCGCGCAAGTTTTGTAAGAAATTGCAACAAAATATTGCGCTATTTTTTTATTGCGCTGATTCTGCTGTATACTGATGTCTGGAGCCTTTAATGGATGGTATTGTTTGTTTACACATACAATGTCATTATTTTGTTGCAATTTCTTACAAAACTTGCGCACACACAGTACTACAGTACACACAGTACTACAGTACGTACAGTACTACAGTACACACAGTACTACAGTACACACAGCTCGCCGACCGCACCGCCGCGCGCCAGTTGCTGCCCACGCCGCTGCGGTCCGCTATCGCTGCTGCGGTCACGTTAGTCTGCCGCATGGCGCCGCCGCTTGAAGCCGATGCTCAGTGAGTGTCCCTATACACACAGTACTACAGTACACACAGCTCGCCGACCGCACCGCCGCGCGCCAGTCGCTTAGCAAACCGACTACAAACAGTGGCATTTGAGCACGCCTCGCTCTGTAAGTCGTTCATCAATTCAGACAGCTGCAGTTCACTGCTAACGGGAGAGGCGTCACTTCGAAAGGCATCACAGAGCATCATCGGAAGGTTTATCAGCATTGAACAGCAGATTTGAGAACCGCAGTGGCTCCGAAAAGGTTATGACATTAAGATGCGAAGTTTCCAGTGCAGACAGGCTTGCCAAGTCCGCCAAGAGCCTTCCGCTAGAAGAGACTACCCTCCTACATGTTCCGGTGACTACAGAGTATGTCCCTCACACTTAAAGTCGTGGCAACACGCAGAATAGGTAAAGGGAGTATGCCAAAGGATTTCTTTTGCCCGCGCCCCTCGTACCTAGAGCTCTGATACCCTACTCTAGGCTCATCTTGACGTAACTTCAATTTTTCTTACTTAAACTCTATCTTTTCTTGCAGATAACCTCAAAACCACTCCACTCCCAACTTCGGCGTCCGCTGACGCCGCCGCTGCAGGCTCCTGCAACGATGACCACCCTTCGTATCTCGCTCGTGTTTAATAAACGTGCCGATGACTTGTGACAATTTTGTCTATGATGCACCGAGCTTCTATGAATGCGGTGGGTAGATGAATGAAATTATGACAATTTTTGTTAAAGAAATGTCACTCTTGACATCATCTACCCACTGTGAGTTGCAATAAGGGCCCTCGCCCACGACGTTTACGAAACACGCGACAGCATCGCTACTAACGCGCGTTAGTCGCATTTGCAACGCACTACAGAAGTGATGCCAACGCGCTACTAACGCGCTACAAAAAATCGCCGTGGGCGAGGGCCCTAAGAAGCATGGCTGCACTGTGACTAACGCCAAAGTATTATTACTGTCTAGGGCCAAAACAAAAATATCATTACGTAATTTTAAAATCATTTTATTGGTTTAAGCTGTACAGCTTCATGACGAAATTGTGGATAAAGTAACGATAATGCATTTTATTGTCATGTTTATTAAATTTGGTGTTAGATATCTTTCAATAAACCAACATAGGTGAACAAAACAGACCAGGCAAAGCCCAAACCTTTCTTTTTTACTATGTGGACATAACCCCACTGTCACTCGACTGAGCGTATTGTCTTGATGCTTTTGTCATTCCTATTTTTGGTGAGGATAAAATAAATATTGTGTATTTAAATAAGCTCTGATTTTTAATTTAAGTCATCTGATATTAGGACTATAGATAAAGGAACTCGTCGATTACAGTATAGTTATCTAATGACCGATATTAAAAATCAGAGTAAAGTGCACTAGCTCGTTGCATAGTTAAGTTTGATATTTATTGTAGTGTTGTGGTCGAGCGATTCCAAACCTTACGTTCAGTATTCACGGTTGTTTTTCAAATTAAATTTTACAACGTTTTCGTCACAATCTCGTGTTTGGCTTTTAATACGAATAAATTATCGTAATAAATAAATCTATGTGAATAGTTGTTGGTGTTCCAACAGTTTGTCCTTGCGGTACAAATAAAATGCACTATAAAAATCTTTACAATGCACAGACTGTCTATATGCCCAACCCAACGGCATGACAGAAATATACGGATGGCATATTAATTAAAATATATACAAAATACCACAATAATGATTATTGTATTGTCTGGTAGTTAATTAAATTTTATTTATGAACGTAAACCACTTGATTATATTTACTGTAGTGGTAGGCGAGCCAGCCGTGTCAATTTCTGTCGTGGTTTCCCTTGCATTTCATACAAGTGTATCTTTCTTTATACGGGGTAATTGCATTAAGTTTAATTTAAGGATGAGAAGTGTATTTTGGTCCAATTTTAGTTAAGATTTATTTACGATAGATTTAATAAGACGTTTTTATGGATTTTCCAAGAATACAGTAATTAGGAGGAATGAAATGTATTGGACGCTCAGCAAAGCACCGGTGACTACCTGAAATCATTTACGACTAATATTAGTTATTTATGAAAGAAAAATTTAGTTATCAATTTTATTTTACACGCGTTGAATCAACAAAAAAGTACATAATCATTTTTCTCGGTGGTTTGCTGACGTAATAAATGTATTTAGTAATAATAATGCACTTGGTTTAGGGTGATTGTAGTCATGTTTTATAAATAAATGTTGGTGTAAACTGTAGTGTTTGTTATTTTCTTATTGATTATGTTTCATGACTGTTGGTGTAATGTTAATAATTGCTCAGTCATAATTTGAAATACCCTTAAATTAATTTTAATTTAAGGGTATTTCAAATTATGCCTAATACCTAATTAATGTGTCTCAAAAACCTATTTACTCAAGCTTTATTTCCGCGCTTATTGATTTGAAAAAACATGATAATGAAAATCCTCCTAATCGTAGCTTTTGCCCGTGTGAAATTTAGTGTGTCAGTTACAGTAGGTACGCTGTTATTCTGATCACTGATGTATAAACAAAAATACTGTAGTTTCATCAAAATCCGTTCAGTAGTTTTTTGCATTTTATGCCCATTCATGCCCCTGTACTTTTTTTTATTTCGATGTTGAATTATTGTTGTATCAAATGTAATAGTTTGTTTTTCTTGGGTCTCTTGATTGTTATGAAAATGCCCAATGAGGGTTTTCGCGAATGAAAAATCCGCCAGATGGCAATACGTAGACGCGAGGTCCAAATGCTGCACGATTGGTTATTTTTGACATGACATTGACAGATATGTCAAAATCCACCAATCACGCAGCAGTCTGACCCCACATCCACGTCCCGCCATCTAGCGGATCTTTCATTCGCGAAAACCCTCATTCAAGGAGTGTTTAAATAACGATGGCTTTCCAGGTAAGTTACAATACAATATAGGACAATGTTTTGGGAATTGGAATTAATGGTGATGGTTATCTAGAGAAGTGATAACTGGCCCTAAAAAAGATCTCATAACCTCTCAGCCCCCAAGCGGTAGCCGGCTACCGCGTAACAATTGATTTATCTATTGTCTGGATTCGCGGAGCTTGAAGGATTAATATTAAATACTAAATCATGCTAGTAGTGGGAAGTAGTTACAGTACAGAATCATTAGAAATGAATGAAAGCCTGTTTTCTAAATGTTTGACAAAATGAATTATGCACGTTTTCACCATTAATCCCTAATTTTTAAGTGACCCCTATGAAAACAAAATTCATGTTATGTGTTACCATAGGTCACTTAAAAATTAGGAATTGATGCATCCATCAATCTATCATGATGGTGAAAACGGGCATTAGCCATTCAATTAGTTTTTAGGGCTATATTTCACCGGGACACCATGGCGGCGCAACCAGTCGCCCGCTACCAACAAAATGTATACAGCTCATTTGGTTGCGCTAAGCTGCATACATTTTGTTGTAGCGGCGACTGGTTGCGCCGACATGGTGTCCCAGTGAAATATAGCCCTTAGGGTGGGGATGGGTATATCAGTTAACTTTTTATAAATAAAAGAGTCATGTTTTTACGAGTGTATATTAACGTAAACTTATGCCGAGGCGGCTACGGGCTGCGCAGGCGGCGGCGCCATGGCGCGCTCGTTGGTAGGCTCGAGGGGCGCCGGCTCGTCCTTGGGCTCCGTGACCAGGATGTGGTCGGGCTGCGGTTTCTTGGGGCCGTTCTTGCCTTGCTGGTCCCACGGAAGCATGATCTTTACCTGCGGGTTAACATTGTTGATCAGTAAAATGAAAAGTAGTTTTCGGGCTGATTTTTCAATCGTCAGATATCTTTAACTGGAGAATAAACTTGAAAATATTTCCCACACTGAAACTGTCAATGTGCCTAAAATAATCTTCCCATAAGTTGTCCTACGATTGAAAAAACAGCCGATAGTAAACCAGATACTAGATAAACAGGAGTTGCAGTGGTGAGAAAGAGGTGGGATTAGTTCTGGTAGTGAATATGCATGTGAGATAGATATTCTTTGCAATCAATTTCAAGGAGTTTTTAATAATTCTAAAAAGTTTTAAGTAAAAGATCTAAGGAGTTTTATTAAAAACAAGGAGTTTTTAATAAAAACAAGGAGTTTTTAATAAAACTCCTTGAAAGTTTAAAATGACTATTTTGGAATGTGGGTGAACATAGATATCAATATTCTGTTGCATTTTTATGCACTAGTAGTGGAATTAATTTAGATTTTAAAACAGCAAACTTGAGCTAATCTCTTGGTGTGGTAATAAATAATATTTGTCTAGCAGGCACCGACAAGAGCTTGTATAAAACAAACACTCCAATAAACTTGCTAGTTTGATATACCACAAATAATTAGATCACAAGCCATTGATGAACTTGCAATCCCTGAATTGTGGATATTAGATAAAAATAAATAAAACATAACCAACCTTGATTCCAAGCACGCCTTGCCGGAGCAGTACGTGTCTGGTGGCGGTGTTGACGTAGTCGTTGCATGGGTCTCCGGAGTGGATCATGAGGCCGTCGACGAACTTCATCGACTTGGCACGCTGGCCACGGAGCTTGCCAGACACTACCACTTCGCAGCCGCGGGCGCCAGACTCCATGATGAACCTCAGCACACCATAGCAGGCACGACGGACAGCGAGACCTGAAAGAATTAATGTCATTTAAAATATTTGAGGTAATTTTTGAAATGTATCTTATGAAATAACATCTTTACATTTTAGAGCTATGCAAATTATTTACTTGTGTGTTTACATGACATGAATTCGAAATCTCACAATACTAATTTAGGTTATTTTTGAAGTAAGGTCATTCTAAAAATATATTTTTTTAGACTGCAGCATCGTTAATTCATAATTGCATCTTGTCAAACGAGACTTAATTACTAAGTCTGACATTAGTGTGTTGCCTTTGTTTGGCTGTGATTATTCAGTTATTGCAAACAAACTAAAATCAAGAATCTGAGGTGGAATTGTGTAAAGCAATCGTTATCATTTGACTGTTCATAACATACAATTATTCTGTTAAACGCTTGTTTAAATGACTTTATCATACGTTATGAACTGTCAAATGATTACAATTGCTTTACACAATTCCACCTAAGATCTATAAAACCCAACCAATGCCATAAAAAGGTCAAAAACATAAAATTAAAGGAGAATGCTGGCAAATAAATGAAATACTAACCTCCGATAAGTTTGTATCTCAAAGACTCGGCTTGCGCGATGGCGCAGAGACCGCGAGTGGCGACTTTCTCAGCGTACAGCTCAACAGACTGTTCAGGGATGTTGAAACGCTTCTGGACCACGGAGGTCAGTTCACGAATTCTGCGACCCTTCTCTCCCAGTACGCTCTGGGTTCTGGTGGCCATAATGATGATCTCCGACCGCGTTGGGGTGACGCGCACTTCCACGCCGGAGTAACCATCTTCGGCCAGCTCCCGAGTGAGGAACTCATTCAGTTCCGCCTTGAAAACTCCGTCTCCGACGAACTGAAATACACGAAGAGGTTATGTTGTTATTCGCAAAAAACACCAACGCACACAACTCGTGTTCACTTATCACAACTTCTAGCAGAGTTATTTCAAGGAAAACTCGTCTCTGGGCACGAGACTGTTTGATTTGTGCAATAAAATAACACAACCCTGTGTTGGTCACTTTGAAATATCCAAAAACATCTGAACTTTCACTGACTAAATGTAACCGCTCGGGACACTAACATAATTATTAGACGTTGTTGAATCATTTAGAATATATATTTTTGCTTTATTAGACCACTTATTGAACGTACTTTTCGCTTTTTTGAAATGTTGTTCACCGCCATGATTGCTATGGGAGCTGAGAAAACCGTAAAGGCCGGAAACAGATACAGTAAACGTCAATGTCAAACTACTCGGTGCGTTCGAAAACTTGTTTAAGACGAATTCTTAAAATGACATTTTGAAAAGTGATATGTATGAAAAAAAAATGTTTAAATGTACAATTAAATATATTAATTGAGTAAAATGTTTTAATCAATCAGGCTTATTTAATTCTTTATTGATTTATACACTTTATATGAGTTTGAAAAAATAGGTGCATAATTTTTTGGCATAGGTTTTGAACGAACCTTTACGTTTAGAAACTTTGTAAAATAAAAAAAAACAAAAGTATTTTAATTTGACAAATAAATTCAATAAATAATAATAGTATTAAATCCTATCATAATTTAGGAATGTGATAAAATTAACACAAATAAATTTTCTATGAATATTCTCAAATATTTAATGGCGGTAGGAGCATACGATTTTCATAATGCGAACATCTACCCGTAATCGCAAGTGAACAATTTCAGTTGCAGAAAGTATGCATCTCTGTGATGTAATTTATTGTAAATTCTTATTTGTGATGTGATTTTAGTGACGAGAATGTAGTGTATCAATCAATATTATTTCAAGGCAACTAAAGTAACATGTGATACAAAATACAATGTATGTACCTATCCAGCTTTAATAATCTAAGCCTATCCACGACACCCACGAGATGATACCTAGTTTGAGTAGGTACTTCGTATTTAACAAAAGGTTTTTATTTGTTGCAGATGAGTTTCATTAATTTCATCATTCAGTTTTGGGACAGAGAAATCCATACTACAGGACTTCCCTTCATCGAACAACAATTTTGCAGTAAGTAAGCACCAAACTTTTTTTATGTTGTGGGTAACCTACCTACCATAGCATTGTCTTGTGTGGTGTACAATAAAATGTGTTCTTTATTATATCTATAGCTAAGTTCTTTTTCTTGGAAAAATAAAGATACCCGAAACTTTACCCCCATGTTGGGCGCCAAAATGTAGGTAGCTAGTAAATTTACTTCATGTAGCGAAGATTTAATTTTGTAACGGAAAAATAATGATACCTGAAACTTTACTCCCATGTTGGGCGCCAAAATGTATAGGTTTACCTATTCATTCATCTAACGCTAGATGGCGCGTAAATTTACTTTAAGTAGCGAAGATCTAATTTTGTAATGAACTGATACCAATTTGAAATTGCACTTAATATTCATAACATTTAATAGGTTATTAAACTGTGTGTACTACGACCTGGCCCGGCCACTGCACTGCGCCAAATAAAGGTCGTGGCAATGTCACAGTAAAGCAGTATGGATGCGTACTTTTCTGTACTCAAAAATAAAAAAAAGTTACCGCTGTANACGAATTCATATAATGACATTTTGAAAAGTGAGATGTATGAAAAAAATTGTTTAAATTTTTCAATAAAATATGTTAATTGAGTAAAATGTTTTAATCAATCAGGCTTATTTAATTCTTTATTGATTTATACACTTTCTATGAGTTTGAAAAAATAGGTGCATAATTTTTTGGCATAGGTTTTGAACGAACCTTTACGTTTAGAAACATTGTAAAATAAAAAACACAAAAGTATTTATAATTTTACAAACAAATGCAATAAATAATAATAATAATATTAAATATCACATTTTAGGAATGTGATAAATAAATTTTAATACAAATAAATTTTCAATGAATATTCTCGAATATTTTATGGCGGTAGGAGCATACAATTTTCATAATGCGAACATCTACCCGTAATCGCAAGTGAACAATTTCAGTTGCAGAAAGTGCAGAAAGTGTGTACCTATCTCTGTGATGTAATTTATTGTAAATTCTCTTAAGTGATTTTAGTGACGAGAATATAGTGTATCAATCAATATTATTTCAAGGTAACTAAAGTAACTTGTGATGTACAAAATACAATGTATGTAGGTACCTACCTATCCAGCTTTAATAATCTAAGCCTATCCACGACACCCACGAGATGATAGTTTGAGTAGGTACTTCGTTTTTAACAAAAGTTTTGTATTTGTTGCAGATGTGTTTCATTAATTTCATCATTCAGTTTTGGGACAGAGAAATCCATACTACAGGACTTCCCTTCATCGAACAACAATTTTGCAGTAAGGTAAGTACCAAACTTTTTTTATGTTGTGGGTAACCTACCTACCATTGCATTGTCTTGTGTGGTGTACAATAAAATGTGTTCTATATGCTTATCTATAGCTAAGTTCTTTTTCTTGGAAAAATAAAGATACCCGAAACTTTACCCCCATGTTGGGTGCCAAAATGTAGGTAGCTAGTAAATTACTTCATGTAGCGAAGATTTAATTTTGTAATGGAAAAATTAAAACAATAATACCTGAAACTTTACTCCCATGTTGGGCGTTACCTATTCATTTATCTAACGCGGACGATACCAATTTGAAATTGAAAAAGAAGCCCTTAAAATCATATTAGCGTACTTTTCTGTGCTCAAAAAGAAAAAAAAAGTACCGCTGTATTTCACGCATTGTGTAGGTACCATCGAATAGAAGTAGATTTTCTTTAAAATCTGTAATAGACTAATAGTTAATACAGTTTATTTAAGAATCAAACTGTATGATATTAAATGCCTGGTATAAATATTAGAGCAAAAATTTAACTTTTGACCTCTTGTCGAGTTTTGTTATGTAGGCGCCATAGCTCGTACGTGTTGTAGTGGACAAATTAAATGAAAAATAATATTCAATGCAATTTATTTATTACTCAAGATCTTTTCATTACATACAAACGCACCATATACTTAGCATAACAATAATTAATAGGGGCTTATCCCCGTAAAATATTGAAAGTAGACGTCATGCAACTTAACATCGCGGCTGCTTCACAGCAACTAAGGTAATGTAGTGTAAGTAAGACTAGTATCTATATTTTAAATGTATTTTTATCAAATAAAGCTTGTGCATAAGGAAATTTATTGTTGAAGAAATGTGGTAGGTACACGTAAACATTTATTAATAGGCATTGAAACGTCCTACGGTAGGTACTTAGTTCATGCGATCAGATTTAGCGTATTATTTAATACTAATCAAATATAAATATTTGTTTTACAAGCTTAACATCTATAATTACAGAATAAATATTAAAAAACAACAATTTAAATTACGAAAACATTCAATTAAACTGTAACAGTACTCATCATTAGTAAATAAAAGACAAAACAATTGACAAACCACAGCGAACCACTGCATAGTCATTTCTATAGCCTTTCTACGTGCGCTAACTATTAAAACAAAATTAAACACCTTAACACTTCTCTTACGATGTGGTTTATATTCGTTATTTTTTCCTAAACTCCACGACTTTCAAGCGTCAAAACGGAACATCGCAAAAGAATTATCTAAATTACCTAATAAAACACCCACTTCCAAAAATCATTTGAATGTAGCATTTTGCCACGCTTTTTACATTAAAAAAATACTAACAAATCACTAAATCTGATTACTAGTCTACAGCAGCTAAACTTCTACAAGAACTATATTATTATAAATTATTGTTAATAATCATAAATTTACTGTCAACAACATTTTAATGTTACAAAGTATGAGTTACTTAACTAGGCGTTCATCTTTATTATTACTTAATCTTGCGACTTGAATATTTAACGGCAGATCTTAATTTTTCACCAACCATCTCGTGACTTTTCTCAAAGGAAAGTCGGTGAAATAGTTTAGTTGAAATCGTTGAAGCATTATATTACAAGCTTCACGTCGAAGCAGTTGATGCGCATCATTGAAGCAAATTATTATTTTTGATCAGCTAGTGTATGAGAAGCGTTTTGTAACTAGTCCTACAGCTTACGTGTGACTAAGGCCGCTGAAACTTAAGATCTCAGCAGCTTAGGGTCTACGCTCAAATAAACAATTCAAATCTGAATTATCCCTTACACTTTCAGTTATAAATTGAATTTGCTTACAATTAAATGGACAGTGATTATTACAATTATACACAAGGTGTAACTTACCACTATAAGTATTAAATAAAAACGTTATTTTAATATTTTAAATTAACATCCACGACTTATTGCTATCTTAATATTAATGGACAGATTGCGTGTAGCGGTGTCTGATCAAAGTTCAGCGCTGTGCGAATGTATGTGAGGGTAGTAGGGTAATAACTATCTAAGTGCGGGCTACAATACACATTGTACTACAAGGCGATAAGCACTGTAACTATTTTGTTGAATTCCTTTGCTATAGATTTAAAAACCTGATACAATTTCTGAACGGTCCGATCCAGACGTTTGGATACACGTAAAAATGGTGGGTAGGTTTCTACACCGCATTAATTTTAATAATGGCAATGTAGAGAGCTAGAAAATTGGTATACTTCGTTCGTAAATAATTAATAAATAGATAAGCGCTGTCTACACCTAAACAGTAGAAGATAAATGAGTCCACTGACGCACTGATATGCTATCAGTGCAGTCACTGGGCTATAAGTAACCATTGGGTTCTAAGATAGAGTCTACAGTGGGACGTGAGAATAAGGGTTCAAGAGTTTGTACAATTCACTAGAAGATAGACACTAAAACAAAATTTCAACTATAGAATTATCTAGACAACGAAGGTATATTTCTAACTAGGCTAGCTGAATGTTTACATGAAGCTTTCGGTATGAGTTATAGACTGGTTTCTCTCATGATCCTGTACTTTACATATTTGGCACTGAGATAGGAAAATATGAGATTTAGACTAGGTGCGGGTAAGCCTAGATCACAGAACTGAGGTGCGGTGTCCCAATATCTAGCTGCTGCAGGTGGTATGATGGTTGCGTATAACTCTATTGTGCGCCATTCACACTGGCACGGTCGATGCTGAAAAATCTAAGTTGCGAAATCTTGTGGGTCGTTAGGATAGTAGCTCCATATTGAGAAAAGATGGCGCCACTTTAAAACTAAGATTTTACTTAATTGTTAGTAATGGAATTAATAGAATAGCAATAATCTTATTACATTTATTTTTTGAAAAAAAAAAATCTTTGTTGTTGGTAGAAATTAGCAATTTTGCTAAATAATTATGTGAGCAACTACGATAGTACCAGTGTGAATGGGCCCTTATGGTAGCCATAACACATTAGCTTCACCGTTATCTAGATCTACCTACATATTGACATTGGTATAAGTTGCTTTTCGCACTCTACACGCTTTCGCAAGTTAATTTAATAATTCACTAGTTTTCGGCTTCTTCAGCATACCTTATTATGTAACAATGTATATTTATGATGTTTTTCCGTTATGAACTTTAATATTATGTTTAGATTTAAAATTAAATGAGTAAAAAAAACTTAAAAACAAAAGGTACCAAGGAAAAAATAAAGAAAACAAAAAATAATTCAATGTAACCTTTTAATAAAACCAAATAATAATTACAACAACGTCAATTCATTTGATAAAATTAAGTACTTGTACCCATCACCAAAGATAAAGAGGAATGTGAAAATTTAAGTCAAAACCATAAAAAAGTGTGAAGTAAAATAGATAATTTCATAGGATTAATCTAAAAAGATGGTAATAATTAATACTTTGAGCCTCTTTATTTCAAGAGTCGTAAATAATACAAGTGAAATACAAATAAATAAAACTAAGTTATTGCACTTTAATTATACTCCAATAATAATAATAATAATGCGAGTGATGAAGATCACAATAATGGACGTTTTCAATTAGAGATCTAAGTTATCATAATAATAATGAAAGTAAAACTCGTTAAGGCTCTGATTTAGTTGCACTGCAGTCAATATTTCCCTTATGGCACTACATAATAGTAAATAATTATAATATTAATAATAAACACATGGTATTGTATACTACCATAATAATATAAATAATTTCATTAAACTATAACTACGATAATACATAAAATTGGAATGTCGCATTTTAAATTCACTTACACATAATCTAAGTACTTTACGCCGGCAAAACTAGGAAATTATCAAACAGAGCTACCATCGCGTATCGCCGATGGCTTCTCCTAGCGTATAGAAAAATTAAGTACCAATTTAATCCTACATTCTCTAAAACAGTTTGTGGAACCAACGTTATTTATATAGGAATACATAATTGATGTGTTAATTACAAGTTCAGATGGTAATTTGATAAAGTTGGTTTCACAAATCGTCGAGCATAGAGGCGCCATAGCTGCCAGTCCCCAGTTCCTTTGAAGAAGTCCCTTTGCCGTCTACACGAGACTAACTGTAATATACATTGCTCTATATTTGTGGGACATCTTCCGTGGATATTCTATAGTTTTTCTCACGAAAGAAGTCTCCCCTTAGCTATATCTGTACTACTGTCAATTATCGTACAGGGTGAAAGGGACAGGTTGGCAATTTTCATTGTGAATTCAGACCATGCTTTTAAGTTGAAATTAATTTTTTTCCAAGACTAATTCGTCATTTTTAGAGTAGCAAGTCAAACAAAGCATATTAAATGAGTAAAAACAAAAATTATTTGTAAATATTTTTAGCATTTGTCCCAATTATATCGGGTCTATGTTCAGTTGCCAACTTATCCTCCCCACCCTATATTTTAGTTCCCCAAAAATCCGCGGGACTATTTTACATCGCTGCTTCGTGGGACCCGGAGTTCAGTGGCGCCGCACTAACATAGTGGCTGAGGGTCGTCGGGCACCAGGCGAGGTCGTCGGGCGTCAGACGCGCGTCAGCTGCACGTAGCGGCAGGCGCAGCCGGGGCACCGCACTCAGTAGCGCTGCTGGTACTCGTGGTGCCAGCGGTTGAAGTCTATGTGGAACACCACCAGCGAGCCGTTCTCCAGGCCGGCTAGTAGGAATCTGGAAATATGAGATGAGTTTTTAAGCATTTTTTGTTTGTTTAAGGTACGCAAAGAGATCGAGTTCTTGAAGGTGTTACGGTACGCAAGAGATCAAGTCACGTATGAATGTTTTAAGGCACGCCACGCCCGTATCCACGGGCATACTGAAGGCGGAGAGACATGGCCGATCACCAGCTCCCTCTAGAAATTGTGAGTCCTTTATCTTGTTATTAATTTTAAGTATCTTAGGCTGGATCAAACNGATCAAATCTTTGTTTTGTCACCTCCTGTCATCCGCTGCTGAGGGAAGTCGAACTCTAATGATTTGCCTTTCCCCGTGCCAGACTGCCTTCTTCGTGCTAGACTGCATTTCCCGTGCTAGACTGCCTTCCCCATGTTAGACTTCCATCCCCTTGCTAGACTGCCTTCCCCCTGCTAGACTGCCTTCCCCCTGCTAGACTGCCTTCCCCCTGCTAGACTGCCTTCCCCCTGCTAGACTGCCTTCCCCCTGCTAAACTGCCTTCCCCGTGCCAGACTGCCTTCCCCATGGCAGACAGCCTTCCCCGTGCCAGACAGCCTTCCCCGTGCCAGACAGCCTTCCCCGTTGCAGACNACACCTCCACACGCAGCGTCTGCAGGGGACTGACGCAGGAGAGACTCACTTCTGGTCGTGCGACAGCGCCAGCGAGCAGACGGCGGCGCCGAGCGGCGGGAAGGCGTACAGCGGCGCCAGCGTGAAGGCGCGCCACACCTCCACACGCAGCGTCTGCAGGGGACTGACGCAGGAGAGACTCACTTCTGGTCGTGCGACAGCGCCAGCGAGCAGACGGCGGCGCCGAGCGGCGGGAAGGCGTACAGCGGCGCCAGCGTGAAGGCGCGCCACACCTCCACACGCAGCGTCTGCAGGGGACTGACGCAGGAGAGACTCACTTCTGGTCGTGCGACAGCGCCAGCGAGCAGACGGCGGCGCCGAGCGGCGGGAAGGCGTACAGCGGCGCCAGCGTGAAGGCGCGCCACACCTCCACACGCAGCGTCTGCAGGGGACTGACGCAGGAGAGACTCACTTCTGGTCGTGCGACAGCGCCAGCGAGCAGACGGCGGCGCCGAGCGGCGGGAAGGCGTACAGCGGCGCCAGCGTGAAGGCGCGCCACACCTCCACACGCAGCGTCTGCAGGGGACTGACGCAGGAGAGACTCACTTCTGGTCGTGCGACAGCGCCAGCGAGCAGACGGCGGCGCCGAGCGGCGGGAAGGCGTACAGCGGCGCCAGCGTGAAGGCGCGCCACACCTCCACACGCAGCGTCTGCAGGGGACTGACGCAGGAGAGACTCACTTCTGGTCGTGCGACAGCGCCAGCGAGCAGACGGCGGCGCCGAGCGGCGGGAAGGCGTACAGCGGCGCCAGCGTGAAGGCGCGCCACACCTCCACACGCAGCGTCTGCAGGGGACTGACGCAGGAGAGACTCACTTCTGGTCGTGCGACAGCGCCAGCGAGCAGACGGCGGCGCCGAGCGGCGGGAAGGCGTACAGCGGCGCCAGCGTGAAGGCGCGCCACACCTCCACACGCAGCGTCTGCAGGGGACTGACGCAGGAGAGACTCACTTCTGGTCGTGCGACAGCGCCAGCGAGCAGACGGCGGCGCCGAGCGGCGGGAAGGCGTACAGCGGCGCCAGCGTGAAGGCGCGCCACACCTCCACACGCAGCGTCTGCAGGGGACTGACGCAGGAGAGACTCACTTCTGGTCGTGCGACAGCGCCAGCGAGCAGACGGCGGCGCCGAGCGGCGGGAAGGCGTACAGCGGCGCCAGCGTGAAGGCGCGCCACACTTCCACCACGCCGGCGTCGCCGCCGCACACCAGGTACTCGCCGCAGCGGGACAGCGCCAGGCACTGCGAGTAAGGAAACACATTAGAAACGGTACAATATACACTGGTCTTTGGTCATCACAAAAATCGACCCTCCCGCGACAAGCACTTTCAAACGTATGCATTCCTACTTCCCACCAATATTGGCACCATTTAAAAGCCTAGATCTAAACTTCATTTCATTAAAGGAAAGGTTTTACCCCAAAAATGTGTCTGTAGTGTAATCCAGAGTCACTTCTTCAAAAAATAGGTAGTTACGCTTGAGCCAATTTTTATGGCTATAAAACAGTTAAGTTGGGATTAATCGCTGTCCATCTGTTAAAGAGAACACGTGAGATCATTATTTGGTTTTATAACCATAAAAATTGGTCTAATTGATCCCAGAGGTGAGCCCAAACTGAGGTATTTTTTCAAGTCACATTTATGGTGTATGTTAATTATTTATTAAGAAATTAAATGTGTTTTTCTTTAAGGATATTTATTGGGCTTTCAAATAACACCAATATTGTTGGGGAACCATGAATGTGTCAGTAGAAACGAGTTTTCCTGTAAAACGTAGGTGGGCCGATTTTTGTGATGACCAGTGTAGTTTAAAGGTCTACGCTTGCGTGGGTACACGGATAGCTGACGCGGGCTGAACCTTAACCCGCGCCGTTCTCCGCCAACAGAGATGTCTGTGGTAGCTCTTTCTTTCTTTTCCTTTTTTTATTTGCTCTAATTCGAAAATCTAATTAAAACACACTTAGGCGTTATCAAACTAACACGCCCCCTGCTGCGCGTGTAGAAACGCATGCGCGGTAGTACACTCTCACCGAGAGTTCGTCGAGAGATCACGAGACAGGCAGAATGCGAGAGTATACAGGGAGCTCTCGCTACCTCTCGGAATAACCCCGCTGCACCGGGCCATCCGCTGTTGTTGACACTTGGCTCCACTGCTGTTGACACCTGGCTCCGCTGCTGTTGACTCCTGGCTCCGCTGCTGTTGACTCCTGGCTTCGCTACTGGTGACACCTAGCCCCGCTGCTGATGACACCTAGCTCCGCCGTTTTTGAGACCTGGCTCCGCTGCAACTGACACCTAGCTCCGCTACTAGCGACACCTATCTCCGCTGCTGTTACCTAGCTGTAGTATCGCGTGGTACCTGGAAGTTGTCGTTATGCGTGTGGTGCCTCAGCCGGCGGCCGTTCAGCGTGTAGGCGGCGAGGTGCCAGCGCGCGTACGCCACCACCACCAGCCCCTCGCGAGACAGCTGGTGACACCTAGCTCCACAGCTGGTGACACCTTGGTCTACTGCTGGTGACACCTAATTCCGCTGCTGTTGACACCTAGCTCCACAGCTGGTGACACCTTGGTCTACTGCTGGTGACACCTAATTCCGCTGCTGTTGACACCTAGCTCCACAGCTGGTGACACCTTGGTCTACTGCTGGTGACACCTAATTCCGCTGCTGTTGACACCTAGCTCAGCTTCCGGTGACACCTAGCTCCACTGCTGTTACCTAGCTGTAGTATTAGTGACTATACCTGGAAGTTATCATTATGCGTGTGGTGCCTCAGCCGGCGTCCGTTCAGCGTGTATGCGGCGAGGTGTCCGCGCGCATACGCCACCACCACCAGCCCCTCGCGAGACAGCTGGTGACACCTAGCTCCACAGCTGGTGACACCTTGGTCTACTGCTGGTGACACCTGGCTCCGCTACTAGTGACACCTGGCTCCGTCGCTGTTGACACCTGGCTCCACTGATGGTGACACCAAGCTCAGTGCTGTTGACACCTAGCTCAGTGCTGTTGACACCTAGTTCCACTGCTGTTACCTAGCTGTAGTACCTGGAAGTTGTCATTATGCGTGTGGTGCCTCAGCCGGCGGCCGTTCAGCGTGTATGCGGCGAGGTGCCCGCGCGCGTACGCCACCACCACCAGTCCCTCGCGCGACTGCTGGTGACACCTAGCTCCACAGCTGGTGACACCTGGCTCCCCTGCTGGTGACACCTAGCTCCACTGCTGGTGACACCTAGCTCCACTGCTGGTGACACCTAGCTCCACTGCTGGTGACACCTAGCTCCACTGCTGGTGACACCTAGCTCCGTCGCTGTAGACACCTAGCTTTGCCGCTGGTGACACCTGTCTGCTGCTGATGACACCTAGCTCCACTGCTGGTGACACCTAACTCCGCTGCTGTTGACACCTGGCTCCGCTACTGGTGACACCTGGCTCCGCTACTGGTGACACCTGGCTCCGTCGCTGTTGACACCTGGCTCCACTGATGGTGACACCTGGCTCCACAGCTGGTGACACCTAGCTTCGTCGCTGTTGACACCTAGCTTCGCCACTGGTGACACCTGTCTGCTGCTGATGACACCTAGCTCCACTGCTGGTGACACCTAACTCCGCTGCTGTTGACACCTAGCTCCGTTGCTGTTGACACCTAGCTCAGTGCTGTTGACACCTAGCCTCACTGCTGTTGACACTTAGCTCAGCTGCTGGTGACACCTAACTCCGCTGCTGTTGACACCTAGCTCCGTTGCTGTTGACACCTAGCTCCGCTGCTGTTACCTAGCTGTAGTACCTGGAAGTTGTCATTATGCGTGTGGTGCCTCAGCCGGCGGCCGTTCAGCGTGTATGCGGCAAGGTGCCCGCGCGCATACGCCACCACCACCAGTCCCTCGCGCGACAGGGCCAGCTGCTGCGGCGGCCAGCCTTCGTCCGGCGCTGCCAGTGCGCGAAGCACCTCGCCGAATGTCGTGTGGATGAGCACCGGGCCGTCTGTGAAGGAGATAGGGTGATATTATAATATAGGCAGGCTAGGATTATATCGTGAGACGCCCTCACACATAATAAATGTATTATTTACCACACAAAATAGGTTAGAAAACGTACGACGACGGCATGGCGGCAGCGCGGAAACTCAAACACGCGGCGCCGTTGTGTCGTCAAGGTGATTGTTTATATTCGCTAACGAAATGACAAATTTATTCCTAGGTCACCACTAAAGCCTGGTCCGTGAGCACGTAGAATTTTGTCCAATGACCCCAAGCTACCCATCCTTATCGCTCGCGCGTAATTATATTGCTGTCGCGACTGTGCGACGGGCGCCCGCAGTGAGTGTGCGAGCGCGACAGCAACATAATTACGCGCGGCAAGCTTTAGACAGAATGCACTCCGCTTGTCGCCCGCTCCTGCCTCGCTGCCGCGTCGCTGTTCTCGAAGGCCTATTTGAGTTTGTTTACGCAAAAAATCTTGCAGCTGCCACGCCGCCGCCGCCCCGCTGCACCCAAAATTCCAGACAGCGGTCTTATCGCCGACGTCGTATTACCTGTAGCGTAGGCTAATGTAAATGTGTGTGTAGTGCCCGGTGGGCGTCACGCACGGCTCGGGCGTGTTTGTGTGTGTGTGTGTGTGTGTGTGTGTGTGTGCGCGCACGTGTGTGTGTGTGTACTCACTCAGCGACGAGGAGATGACGAGCCCGAGCTCGGCGGAGACGAGCACGGCGTTGATGGGCGCGTCGTGCCCGGTCAGCGTCACGCGCGGCGCCGGCGTGTCGCCCTCGCCCACGATGCCGCCTGCGCGCGCAGACCTGGCAAGACAAGGGACGATTATAATGTTGGTCTATTACTAAAGCCCGGTCCGTGAGCACGTAGAATTTTGTCCAATGACCCCAAGGTACCCATCCTTATCGCTCGCGCGTAATTATATTGCTGTCGCGACTGTGCGACTGGCACCCGCAGTGAGTGTGCGAGCGCGATAGCAACATAATTACGCGCGAGCAATAAGGATGGGTAGCTTGGGGTCATTGGACAAAATTCTACGTGCTCACGGACCAGACTAACAGGGCCACCAACTGGGGATCCTGAGTATTTAAAGTTTCAGCAGAGTAAATACAAATGAGTAGGCCATCTTCATAGAAACGCACCGAGCGCGTTTGTATGTTAGCGCGTCAATACGTATGCGGCGCGCACGCACACACTGACAAAATTTAGCGTGGATTAGCGGGGAGTCGTGGTTGCGCCGAAAAATTGCAGAATTAGAAGAACGCAGTCGAGTTATATTAACTGCGCACCTGGCAACCGTGACGTCACATTGACGCTGTGATCCGGATAGGGCGAACGCGGGGAAGTATGCGGGTGAGTGCAAGGGTGAGTTGCATTCTAGCGAGGTGCGCAGTTCACTTGATCAGGTTGTAGACCTTTTCAGCGATTATGTCGAACTGTTATTTACAGAATACTGATTTTCTTTGAGAGCAGGTGAGGCCCTCTCGACCATGGGGTCCTGGGCACATTGTCATGCCCAGAGTGCCCAGTGGAGGAGGGGCCTGACTACATATCGCATTTGCACTTACTAGAATGACGCCACTGTTAAGGAATGTCAGTGAGTCACCAGAATCCACTAGACGACCGGTCCTGCGCACCTCCCGCGACCTTCACCAGATCGTCGGTCCACCTAGTGGGTGGCCTGCCCACACTACGTCTTCCGGAACGTGGTCGCCACTCGAGAACTTTTCTGCCCCAGCGGCCATCAGCTTTGAACCTATGCGGCCTGCCCACTGCCACTTGATTTTAGGAATTCTGTGGGCTATGTTGGTCGTTTTGGTTTTCCTGCGGGTCTTCTCTTCTCTGATTCGATCACGCAGGGAAACTCCGAGCAAGCCCTTCAATGTTTATTGTGTTTATATGATTGAAGCCGGACTTACCAGTGCCAAAGCAGAACCGTACAGTCTTCCGAGCCGGACGCGATGTAGCAGTCGGAGGTGATGTTGCATTCCGAGCGCGACACGCACGTCACCACGCCGTAGTGCCCGAAGATTATTTGTACTATTTTGGCTGTGGACATGTAACATTCAATTGTTTATTGCATTCAAGTATTAGGCGTAGGTATCTGTATTTCAGACACTTGTCTTTTACTTAGTCCTTTAATGAGACAAAACATGTAGAAAACTGTAGTGAACAAGGTTCTGCGACGACTCACTAGAGGCGCTTTCAAATTAGACGGTTATAGCAGAATGTCGCGTAAGTCGTGATTTTTCAAGATCGCACACAAACTGTTGGTAATTGCAATTTTTTGTTATTTAATAATTGCCCCAGGACGTCCAGTGCCTAACATAGGCCTCCCCCAATGATTTCCACATCGCCCGGTCGGTAGCGGCCTGCATCCAACGCCTTCCTGAGGTTTTTATGAGGTTGGCTGTCCACCTTGTGGGTGGACGTTCTACGCTGCGTTTTCCGGTACGTGGCCTCCACTCCAGAACCTTGCTGCCCTATCGACGGTCAGTTCTGCGTATTATCTGCCCTACCCATCGCCACTTCAGCTTGCTATTCCATCGGGCTATGTCAGTGACTTAATTTGTTTACGGATCTCCTCATTTCTGATTCGATCTCGTAAAGAAACACATAGCATAGTAGATATAGATCGTTTTAACTACGAAGACGCGCCCCACCAATTTTTGGTGGACGGAAGCGTGGGGTGCGTGGAGTTTGATCCGAGCAATCCGAGCGTCATTATTGTAGTGTGCGATGCGTGTGCCACTCATGGATAATTTAGCATGTACCGATAACACTCAAACATTAGCAGAAGAATTATGGGGCGCGTCCGCGCGTCTTCGTGGATGAAACGTTCTTATAATATTATTGACCGGTCTCCGTGGAGAAGACCCTGAAGGAGTTGTCCCAGAAGCCGGCGGCGATGAGGAAGCGCGAGTCGACGGTGGTGACGAAGCAGTTGCTGCGCGCACGCACCCGCTGCGAGAAGTTGTCGCCGAGTTGTCGCCGCGCCGCCGCGCCCGCGCCGCCCGCCGCTGGAAGGAGAAACTTTGGTTAGTTGTATGAAGTTATAATGAAGATTTTGAACCAAATACAAATATGTAATTTATTTGTGAAACACAGGTAAGGAGTATGATGTACAAACAAAAGATGTGTTCAAGCCGTGATTAGCCTTGTCGGCATATTCGTCGCTAAATAGTGTTGTGGGAGTCGCATCGTATCAGCCGCCGTACTGCGAGATAGGCCGCGAAGAGGCCGCTTATATATTTTATAACCTCCGGCCGAGAGGTCCGAGAGGCTGTCTCGCTCGCACACCCACCGCGGGAGCTCCGTGGATGTAACCTACGCGCGAGAGGACAGATATCGCTGTCTCGCTTCCTCTATGGTGCGCGCGCAGAAAGCACTGAAAGTTTTAATGTTTTCATGTCGTGTGCGACAACCAATGTTTCTGTCTCCTTTCTGTGTACTATAAATATAGCGCATTTTGTAAATAAATCATCACTTCAAATCTGGATTCTGAGTTTCACTCATCTACCTGCACCTACCTTCTCCTCGACACACAGTTAGGCTCCATAGTGTTATTGTTGTTACAGTCAAAACTCATAATCGGTTAGAACTACTTTTGATTGCAAAAATCTGTCAAAAGTGGTTTTGACTGATGCCCTTGGTCAATATCACCTTTGACTGATTTTTACATCATTTTACAACAAAAAGGTATTGTATCATGATCGTGATGTCGACTGTCCATCCCATTTCAAGACCGCAACTGCTGCAAGTGGCGTTTATTGATTGCTATTCCACAATAATAGCAATGTAAGAGTGGTTGCATGGGTAGAAATGAGAAACGTTGCAGCGGTGACGAAGAGAGTGGTGGAATTAGTTTCCCAAGAACAGTCGCAACGGTAGTAGAGATTAACGCCCGTATTCACAAACGATGCTTGCTTAAGTGAAGCAGCAAATCGAACGCACAGCTTTGAATAGAGCTCTGTAATTGGCTCGTGTGTCACCCTGCGCGTCCACGCGCACTGTGAGACCTCATAGTAATGTTTGTGAATACGGACGATAGTTTTGCGGAAAGAGACGAGTAACAGTGGTAGGAAAAATAACACACACAGTAACAGTAGCAGTGGTGAAAAAAAATCGCAGAAATAGGAAAGAAAGAAATTGCTACAATGGTAAATATAGGGAGTTGCAGAGGTGGAAAAGAAATGTGTTGCAGCAGGAGCAAAGAAAAGTCACAGTTCTGGTGGGCGAAAGGTAGGATGAGGAAGTCCTATATACGCAGGTGTTGCAACGGTAAAGACAGGAGAAAGCGGTTAGCGAGATCAGTGTTACTACAGCGGAGAGGAGTGGGATTCAATAGTGAGAAGTCCTAGACTAAGAGCTGGTGAACGCCAGACCTACGTCATAAATAAATAAATAATCATTTATTTGCCTTAAATTATATTTTATAAAAGCTGAAAGTCTGTCAGCGTATGCTCCTAATCTATACAGGGTGGAAACGATAAGTGATCTCATTCGATTATTTCTAAACTACACAAGATATCGAAAAACTGGTTACTGATCCCGAAAGAGCTTCACGAGCTCTTTCTAACGGTATCAGTAATAGGTTACAGAATTAACTGGATCTATCCGAAAATTCAATGTTTTCAGCCTCCATACTAAATGTATGCCAGCCACACAATATGAAAAGTTTAATTTTTTTATTAAATAATAAACACTTAAAATAAACTCGTAAATTGCATTCTTATTTAAAANGCTGGTGACACCTAGCTCCACTGCTGGTGACACCTAGCTCCACTGCTGGTGACACCTAGCTCCACTGCTGGTGACACCTAGCTCCACTGCTGGTGACACCTAGCTCCACTGCTGGTGACACCTAGCTCCACTGCTGGTGACACCTAGCTCAGTGCTTTTGACACCTAGCTCAGTGCTTTTGACACCTAGCTCCACTGCTGATGACACCTGGCTCCGCTGCTGGTGACACCTGGCTCCGTCGCTGGTGACTCCTAGCTCAGCCGCTGTTGACACCTGGCCCCGCTGCTGTTGACACCTAGCTCCACTGTAGACACCTAGCCGTAGTATTAGCTTGTCTACCTGGAAGTTGTCGTTATGCGTGTAGGCGGCGAGGTGCCCGCGCGCGTACGCCACCACCAGCAGTCCCTCGCGCGACTGCTGGTGACACCTAGTTTCGCTGCTGGTGACATCTAGCTCCGCTACTGGTGACACCTAATTCCGCTGCTGTTGACACCTAGCTCAGTGCTGTTGACACATAGCGCCGCTGCTGGTGACACCTAGCTTCGCTGCTGGTGACACCTGTCTGCTGCTGATGACACCTAGCTCCGCCGCTGTTGACACCTAGCTCCGCTTCTGGCGACACCTGGCTCCGCTGCTGTTGACACCTAGTTCCGCTGCTGTTGACACCTAGCTCAGTGCTGTTGACACCTAGCTCCACTGCTAGCGACACCTAGCTGTAGTATTAGCGACTATACCTGGAAGTTATCATTATGCGTGTGGTGCCTCAGCCGGCGTCCGTTCAGCGTGTATGCGGCGAGGTGCCCGCGCGCGTACGCCACCACCACCAGTCCCTCGCGCGACAGCTGGTGACACCTAGTTTCGCTGCTGGTGACACCTGGCTCCACTGCTGGTGACACCTAGCTCCACTGCTGGTGACACCTGGCTCCGTCGCTGTTGACACCTAGCTCCGCTGCAGGTGACACCTAGTTCCGTTGCTGTTGACACCTGGCTCCGCTGCTGTTGACTCCTGGCTCCACTGCTGGTGACACCTAGCTCCACTGCTGGTGACACCTAACTCCGCTGCTGGTGACATCTAGCTCAGTGCTGTTGACACCTAGCTCAGTGCTGTTGACACCCAGCTCTGCTGCTGTTGACACTTAGCTGTAATTAGTGACTATACCTGGAAGTTGTCGTTATGCGTGTGGTGCCTCAGCCGGCGGCCGTTCAGCGTGTATGCGGCGAGGTGACCGCGCGCGTACGCCACCACCACCAGCCCTTCGCGCGACTGCTGTTGACACCTAGCTCCGCCACTGTTGACACCTGGCTATAGTATTAGCGACTATACCTGGAAGTTATCATTATGCGTGTGGTGCCTCAGCCGGCGGCCGTTCAGCGTGTATGCGGCAAGGTGTCCGCGCGCGTACGCCACCACCACCAGCCCCTCGCGCGACAGCTGGTAGCTCTTTAAACAAGCGGCTGTGCAACATAGGGTTGAGGAATAATGCGAGCTGTGGGTGAGGGGAGCTCGAGGAGGACCGCCACCACATATTGTGGTACTGTCCTCTGTATAAGGACATCCGTGAGGAGCTGCTGTAGGGAGTCGTGCTGGAAACGCACGGCCCTGCTTGGTACCCCGATCTCGTCGCAACAGACGTAAACTTCAACCGGCTCAAGGCGTTTGCGTACAAGTGGCATGAGCGAAGAACAGCCCCAAACAGTAAGGCCCTTTTCACATGTTCCGGTTGCCGGCTAACCGGCGCCGGATACCCGGTGGTGAAGTGTATGGGCATGTTGGATTAATTACGCCGGAACATCTGAAAGCTACGTACCATGCCCATACACTTCACCACCGGATACCCGGCGCCGGTTAGCCGGCAACCGAGACGTGTGAAAAGGGTGCCACCCGTTTATGTGTAGTAGCAGAACGGAGAGAGTCACTTCATACAAGGATTAGAATAAAGAACTTGTAGAGAGTCAAGCATTGCGCGCGGCAGAGGGCAACCTGCCACGGCAGACGCAGTTCCGCGCATCTCCCACGATTCGGCCAGTTATAACCGGAAGGTTGGAATGGCCATGGGTGGTGGGTTGTAAGCTCCGCTGCTGGTGACACTGTTGTTGACATCTGCTGTAGTATTAGCGATACCTGATGATTAGTGTACCTGGAAGTTGTCGTTATGCGTGTGGTGCCTCAGCCGGCGTCCGTTCAGCGTGTATGCGGCGAGGTGCCCGCGCGCGTACGCCACCACCACCAGCACTTCGCGCGATAGCTGGTGACACCTAGTTTCGCTGCTGGTGACATCTAGCTCCGCTACTGGTGACACCTAATTCCGCTGCTGTTGACACCTAGCTCAGTGCTGTTGACACCTAGCTCAGTGCTGTTGACACCTGGCCCCACTGCTGGTGACACCTAGCTCCGCTGCAGTTACCTGCTGTAGTATTAGCGTGTCTACCTGGAAGTTATCATTATGCGTGTGGTGCCTCAGCCGTCGTCCGTTCAGCGTGTATGCGGCGAGGTGCCCGCGCGCGTACGCCACCACCACCAGCCCCTCGCGCGACAGCTGGTGACACCTAGCTCCGCCGCAGTTGACACCTAGCTCCGCCGCTGTTGACACCTAGCTCCGCCGCTATTGACACCTAGCTCCGCTGCTGTTGACACCTGCTGTATAATATTGAGACTATTACCTGGAAGTTATCATTATGCGTGTGGTGCCTCAGTCGTCGTCCGTTCAGCGTGTAGGCGGCAAGGTGTCCGCGCGCATACGCCACCACCACCAGTCCCTCTCGCGACAGGGCCAGCTGCTGCGGCGGCCAGCCTTCGTCCGGCGCTGCCAGTGCGCGAAGCACCTCGCCGAATGTCGTGTGGATGAGCACCGGGCCGTCTGTGAAGGAGATAGGGTGATATTATAATATAGACAGGATAGGCTTCTAGCGTGTGACGCCCTTACACATAATAAATGTATGATTTAACACATAAAACAGGTCAGTAAACTCGAAAAAGGCGCGGGATCTCAAACCTATTCTCAACGAAACCAGCGGGTAGATCACGCGGCGCCGTTGTGTCGTTGAAAAGATTGTTTATAGCGAGATAGCGGACGTCACATATTTGCAAAAGATTGCCACAGGTGAAATTGACTGCCCACACCTACTAGCCAAAATATCTCTGAGGGCGCCTCTAAGGCCCATGAGATTTAATCCACTTATTTTTCTTCCGAAGGCGAGACTAACTATAGTGTAGTATGCGCGTCACTACGCACACACTCACATCCCTTACATAGTATATAAGGATATGCACGTCAATAAACGCACGCTTAATAGCTCTGAATACGCAGTCAGTCTACTTATTTAATCGTCCCAACGCCCAACGTTGCATGGCGACCCTGCCAGTGCTGCTCACGCAGCGCTGAGCAGATGGTTTGGAATAAATAAAGTAATTTAAAGTGAAATAAAATAAATTAAAAATTAGGTGAAAAGTGAACAAACAAAATATGGACTAAAATTAGACTTAAATCAAAATTCAATAAAAATATCGAATATGAACGTGAAATAGAAATATCAAGTGCCAAAAATCAAGAATTTCCTGATCCTGATGAAGATGTTAGAAGACAACGGACCAAATTGGATAAGCTGGGCGCCGGGCGATGATGGAGTCAGATGAGGTAACAACAGTGTGCTGGGTGCCGGGCGATGATGGAGCCAGATGAGGTTGACAGCAGTTAGCAGGGTGCCGGGAGTGTTCGAGTCGGAAGTGGTTGCAGCCGGGAGAACCCTACATCATGATAAGTCCCCGTGTAGAAGTCCCCTTGTCCCCCATGAAGAAAAGTCCTCTTGTCCTCTTCAAAAATAGGTCATCATTCTACGGTAATTTTTTTTTCTCATTTATTATTATCATTTAAACTCTGGAGGTTACTTTAATTTTTGAGTGTTCATTTATTGGTTTAATTTGAGATATGTTTTTTTTTTTAATAATTTCGTAAAACGTATGGACGTTTATGGAAATATTAAATGTAATAATTAAAACTTAATTTACAAATTTGCAATGGAATATGGGAATTCGATATTTTTATTGAAGATGTGACATGTATAAATATTATTTTATGTATAAGTTAAAATTATTAATAATAACGTTTGTTGACGACTTATTATTGACAATATAAAAATGAAATATGTACTGAATAATTCGCATAACATTTTATTTGCAGAAGTTAAATATGAGTAATATTATTATTTTTTTCTAACAGGAATTATCCAATTTGAGTATTTTTGGTTTTTACACAATCACACCAGTGATTTTTACAGCCTCATTTTGTTACATTTTATTTGATTAGGATTTATTTACATTAATATTATTACTAAAATTTGTATTTTAAAATATTAGATTTTCTAGAAGTAGGTCAATAATTTTGTTACTCAGTCATGTCATTGCACTCAACGCATACGACTTATTGCAAATCAGCAAAACGTGATTTAGCATCAGACACGTTATGATGACATGTAGGTATTTTCTAGCGTATCGACACAATACTTCGCTGTAATTAAGATCTTTACTTTATAAACAATAATTGTGTTTGATATGCAAGTAAATATTTTAAATTAGTATCATATTTGTAGACTTTTAAGACCACCAAGATCACATCTCTAATATGGATCTTTAACAGAACATTAATAGAATTATTGATTGATTGGATTTAATTTTTAGTAAAACATTATTTTGATTTTTTTGTAGCAAAGTATGTAATCGATTATGCTATTGATGTAATGATAAAATTATAAAGTTAGTTATGAAAACGTGACATAAGTAGAATTTGATGATTGACATGTTGAAAAATATTTTCCAAAGTGTAGGTAAAATATCACTTGGCTGACAACTTGATTGCTGATTTATTTTAGCCAAGATAGTACCNTGCCCCCCTCTGGGTTGTGGGGCATATGAGTACGTGTCCTTGAAGTATTATCCCGGTTGGATTTGTTTATCTGTGTTTTCTGATGTATAGGCCTTATTAGAACGTAGGCCTTATTTGTATCAAGTACCTTACGTTAATATTATTAAATGATGAAGGCTATGAGATAAAGGTTTGTTGTAATAAGGCAGGTTTTGGTTTGAAATTCAGATAGGCAAAGTTATAAAATAGTTTGATATTGTTTGTAAAGGTGAGCTAAAAGTTAGGCATGCATTCATTACATAGGATACTTTTAATTATTTGGACTGATCACCCAGAAGTTTTAAGAAATTCTTGTGCATTGATTGCGTAGGTTTGTGAGATTGTAAAGTATTTTGTTAGATATTGAATGAATATTGAAATATTAAACATATGAATATTATGTAAACATGGTACTAAAATAAATAATATTAAGGGGAATTATCCTTCGTTCGATCATGGTGCATACTAGATATCTCTGTGAGAATAGTTGGAGACATTAATAAGTCTTAAAATTATCCCTTAATTTAAATGAATATTATAAATAAATATTATTATAAAGTGCGCGCACATGTTATAAAAGTACCATGATGAAAATATGATAAAATGAATTAAGTCGACTATAAATAAATGAAAATAATGACTTGTAAGTGTAGTAGATCTACTAACTATAAAACATGAGGGTGGCCACCTCATAAGAATTGATGACGTATTCTCGGAAATGTAAACATAAATGGATAAGACATTATTAGACGTACGTGTAATACCTGGATGTGACTTTATTTTTATTATGAATGAATATTACATAAAAATAATATTGTTGAAACATTTTAAATAGTCGTCAACAACACGTTTAGATAAGTTATTTTTATTTTATTTTTAATATTATTAAATTGTTATGGATAATTGACACCATTAATTCAAATCAAATTTTGCAATGTGTTAAATTGTCATTTATGTTTATTTTTAATAGAGCATTATTTTACCCAATATCACGTATTTAAAAATCATTATTGAATGGTGTCAAGTACCCAATTTTGTAGTCTTATTTTTTTTTTAATTATCTTTTTTGTATGTAAAAAAAAAACAAAAAAAAAAACGGGGGAGGTGTAGTATGCGCGTCACTACGCACACACTCACATCCCTTACATAGTATATAAGGATATGCACGTCAATAAACGCACGCTTAATAGCTCTGAATACGCAGTCAGTCTACTTATTTAATCGTCCCAACGCCCAACGTTGCAATAGACAGAATAGCTTTATATGGCGTGCTGGCGACAGATTTAACAGACTGAGTAAGGAACTAGATATTGATTTATTCTATACTAGCATACCAGCGCTTAGGCGGCTGCTAAACGAGCGTTTTTTCAAGCCTATCATGTAGGTTTTTTTTATTTTTTTATCATGTTGTTTATTGTAAATATGAGGTAACGGGAAGTGTGTGTGTGTGTACTCACTCAGCGACGAGGAGATGACAAGCCCGAGCTCGGCGGAGACGAGCACGGCGTTGATGGGCGCGTCGTGCCCGGTCAGCGTCACGCGCGGCGCCGGCGTGTGTGTGTGTGTGTGTGTGTGTGTGTGTGTGTGGTGTGTGTGTGTGTGTGTGTGTGTACTCACTCAGCGACGAGGAGATGACGAGCCCGAGCTCGGCGGAGACGAGCACGGCGTTGATGGGCGCGTCGTGCCCGGTCAGCGTCACGCGCGGCGCCGGCGTGTCGCCCTCGCCCACGATGCCGCCTGCGCGCGCAGACCTGGCAAGACAAGGGACGATTATAATGTTGGTCTATTACTAGTGTTACTAACAGAGCCACCAACTGGGGATCCTGAGTATTTAGAGATGTTACTAACAGGGCCAACTGGGGCCTTGAGCATTGTCTGCTGGCACGAAATTGCGGCGGCGATGAATACAGCAACATGAACAGGCGGAGCGGGGCGATCGCAATACTACTCCTCATCGCCGCCGCTCCGCCGTCGCGTCGCCGCGCCAACGCTCAGCTGTCGCCAGTTTTGTGCCCACAGACTTAGATTTAATGGATTTTTCAGTAAAAAAGAGAATTTTGCAGAATAAAACACCTTTTCAGTAGTTTTCAGCGATTACATTGAGCTTTTAGCATTCACAGAACACATTTTTGAGAGCAGGCGGGGCACAGAGTGCCCAGTGGAAAGAGGCCTCTCAACTAATCGTATTTGGACTCATTAGGGTGGCTCCACTGTTAAGAAAGGTCAGTGAGTCAACAAAACCAAATGACGGATCGAACCAAGGACGCTGCCCGCATTCTCGCGATCCCGCATAATCGGTCCACCTAGCTAGTGGGTGGCCTGCCCACACTATGTCTTCCGGAACGTGGTCGCCACTCGAGAACTTTTCTGCCCCAACTACCATCAGTTTTGCAACCTATGCAGCCTGCCTACTGCCACTTGATTTTAGCAATTCTGCGGACTATGTCGGTCACTTTCATTTTCCTGCGAATCTCCTCATTTCTGATTCGATCATGCAGGGAAACTCCGAGCAAGCTGTGTCTTATATGGCCCATTAATGTTCATAGTGTTAATATGATTGAAGACGGACTTACCAGTGCCAAAGCAAGACCGTACAGTCTTCCGAGCCGGACGCGATGTAGCAGTCGGAGGTGATGTTGCATTCCGAGCGCGACACGCACGTCACCACGCCGTAGTGCCCGAAGATTATTTGTACTATTTTGGCTGTGGACATGTAACATTCAATTAATTATTGTATTCAAGTGTATCGTAATTCATAACGCTAGCTTCGAGTCTGATTAGTAGGTAAAAAATCAGACACTTGTCTGTTACTTAATCAACATAATTATGGTTTTAATTAATCCTTCAAACGGACAACTAATCGTCATCTTTATCATTTCAGCCATTGCTGAATATAGGCCTCCCCCAATGCACGTTTGGTAGCGGCCTGAATCCAGCGCCTTCCTGAGGTTTTTACGAGGTCATCGGTGTATCTTGTGGGTGTACGTCCCACGCTGCGTTTTCCGGTACGTGGCCTCCACTCCAGAACCTTGCTGCCCCATCGGCCGTCAGTTCTGCGCTAGCGATCGGGCTATGACAGCGACTTTAGTACGTTTACGGATCTCCTAATTTCTGATTTGATCTTGTAAAGAAACACCGAGAATAGTTTAAATAGATAGTTTCATCCACGAAGTAGACGCGCCCCACCAATTTTTGGTCGAGGCAAGCGCGGGGAGTTTGATCCGAGCAATCCGAGCGTCACTATTGTAGTGTGCGTGTGCACTCATGGATTATTTTAACACTCAAACATTAGCGGAAGAATGGTAGGGCGCGTCTTCGTGGATGAAACGTTCTATAATATTACTGACCGGTCTCCGTGGAGAAGACCCTGAAGGAGTTGTCCCAGAAGCCGGCGGCGATGAGGAAGCGCGAGTCGACGGTGGTGACGAAGCAGTTGCTCCGCGCACGCACCCGCTGCGAGAAGTTGTCGCCGAGTTGTCGCCGCGCCGCCGCGCCCGCGCCGCCCGCCGCTGAAAGGAGAAACTTTGGTTAGTTGTATGAAGTGATAAACTGTATTTTTATTTTTTTCGAAGGTTTGAGCTCTTTTGAAGGTTTGAGCTCTTTAGAAGGCTCGAGCTCTTTTAAAGCCTCGAGGCATGGCTCAGAGAGCTCGCAGCTCGGTTAAGCTCGGGGCACCGAGCCTACCGAGCTCACTAAATCTTGCCATTCCGCCTCGAGGCTTCAAAAATAGGACTCGACGCCTCGAGTCTTGTACATCACTAGATAAACTTGATTGTGAACAAATAAAGTGATTTTGACACTTTAAAACCTGCGCCTGTAATTAAAAAAGTTATTTCATAACATTGTTTGATCTTTGTTCCGGGACTGTTCCCACCTCTCGTTCCCACCACTGCAACTCCTGAGTAGCCAGGATCTACAGCTTGACCGCCACAAAAACCCAACCAATGAAGGTCAAGTTTGTCCCGGGGGAAAGTTGAACTGTCATTGGACCCGCAACGAAATTAATCAGAAGAACATAGGAGGAGTTCGAAATTAAGGTTCGACTTCCCTCCATTGCAAAGCGGATGACAGGTGACAAACAAAGGTTTAAAACCTTTAAGAAAAGATTATGCACCACGGACAATAAATATCAATTAAGGAGGCCTATCTTATGAGCAATTAGCAACTACCTGCCAATAATTCGGTCGGTCAGACCCCAGTTCCACCTTGTGGGTGGACGTCCCACGCTTGAATGATACTTATGTAAAAACTACTCGTGATAACTGTTTTGGCAAATGTTAATTCTAATAATGTGTGTTATAAAATGCTGTTTGTTTTCCTAATAATAAAAAAGGTTGTGAACCCACACAAAAGTGTTTTTTTTGTCCTTTTTTCTTTTTGCTCTATTGTCTGTATATCACATACAATTATTTTCGAGACTTGATACCGGGATCAATGGGAGTGGCAACAGTGAGAAAGAGGTGGGACTCTCTCATGCAAAGGAACTGCAGCACCGATTTCTACCAAAAAGATGATGTGGGAGAGAAAGGATTCGCAGTGGTGTTAAAGAGAGGAATCAGACAGCTTTTTGATGGATGAAAGGACTCCTCAGCCAACGATGGCAGAGAGGTGATATTAATCCCTCGAGCACAGAATTGGTATCTGCAGGAGAGACGGGATTAGTTTCTCGAACATAATAGTGGTATAGTTTGGTCAGCGAACACGTAGAATTTTGTCCAATGACCCCAAGCTACCCATCCTTATCGCTCGCGCGTAATTATGTTACTGTCGCGCTCGCACACTCACTGCGGGCACAGTCGCGACAGCAATATAATTACGTGCGAGCGATAAGGATGGGTAGCTTGGTGTCATTGGACAAAATTCTACGTGTTCGCAGACCAGACTATAGCGGTGGGAGAAAAGTGGGAGTAGTCTTTCATGCATAGGAGTAGTTGCGGCGATTGGGTTTAGGATTATAGTCTATTCAGNATTACGAGCCACAGTACAGTTGATGTCGCACGGAAAATATTCGCTAAAAATTCTACTTTAGTTTGTAATTTTTTTTTTGGTGGATAATGCGTTTATATAAGTCATAATAGATCACCTAAATAAATATGGCGAGGATTGAAATCAACACCCTGTATAAAAGAAAGTCGTGTTAGTTACTCCACTTATAACTCAAGAACGGCTGAACCGATTTAGCTGAAAATTGTCAGGGAGGTAGTTTAGAGCCAGGAGAAGGACATAGGATACTTTTTATCCCGTTCGAAGTTAAAAAAAAAGTCTGCTTATTTATTGCCATTAAGGCGGAACAAAGTTCGCCGGGTCAGCTAGTATAGGATATAATGTTAGTGAATTATGAAGTTTGGGTCATCGTGGCTTTGGGAGCTACCCTAAAAAAACTGTCTGGCGAGGAGTTGGAACTGTTGAAACTGTTTGGCTGTTGGGGAAAATACTGGTAATCATTGTCCAAATAAAACATAAAAATCAGTTTTATTTTCTTTAGTTATATTCGTTAGTAGAATTACAGTGTATTGAATATACAGAAAAAGCCACCGTAAAAGTTAGACTTACGTTACATCGTATAATCTGATTTTTATGTATAATATTTGGGCAAAAGTATTTTCCCCAACAGCCAGACAGTTTCGACAGTTCCAACTCCTTGCCAGACAGTTTTTTTAGGGTAGCTCCCAAAGCCACGATGACCCTTTTATAAAATGCCGTAGGTCTGGCGTTCACTAGCTCTTCGTCTATAGTCTGGTTTGCGAGCTGATGCTGTTGATGTTGCTGTCGCGCTCGCACACTCACTGCGGGCGCGCGTCGCACAGTCGCGACAGCAATATAATTACGCGCGAGCAATAAGGATGGGTAGCTAGGGCTCATTGGACAAAATTCTACGTGATCGCAGACCGGGCTTTAGGTGGGAATAGTAAATAAATAAATAAAATAAAATAAAAGGTATTTATTTCAGGCATAGCCCATAAAAGTGTTAGTAACAAAGGTCTTATAAACTATGGTTAGTAAATCACACAGTAACCTAAACACAATTAACGAACGACAATTTGGTGTCTTTAGTAAGATGGACGCGTGTCCAGTGCTGCATGATGGCACTGTCCACGTCCAACCTCGCCGCGACACTCTGCAGGAGGCTGTTGGAGCTGCCACGCACACGGTGGATCAGGGACGCCGTGCGCTTTCTTAAAATGGCAGCAAAGCTATCTACTCCTTTTTCAATCCCGTTGTGAGAATGTGTCGCTCATACAACGAGGTAGTTCGCAGTGGTGGAGACATTGACATATTTAATAGCAGTTTTCCCCGGTACAAGAGATTGGTAACAGAAATCTTTAAAAATAAATAATCGTCCTCGACCCTATCCAATGTTTATCCTATTTTTATATATATACTAAAACTGTCAATGTGCCAAACTAATTCTTCAGATAAAAAATATCCGACGAATGAAAAATCAGCCCTTAATATAAGTAGCTTTAATTTAATACTAAGCATGTTGTGTACGCTGATTTTGGATCTCTGTTTAGTTATTTAATATTTTGTTAATTTCATGGCTATATAATTGACAGTGATCTGTTTGTGTACCTATTTTAAATAAATAAATAAATACTCGAGCTTCTGCCAGCATCGCTGCTGCAGTATCGTCGCAGCCCCATCAGCATCCTGAATGCGTCATTATACTGAGTACTAATATGTTAATAGTGATGTACTCACCCCAGACGGGGTCCATTATAAGCGGGTGCGGCGGCGGCGCGTGCTCGGGCGCGTGGCGCGGCGCGGCGTGCGCGCAGCCCCCGCCCGCCCAGCGGTGCGCCGCGAATGCTCGCGCTGCGGATACCTAAGGAGGAATATACACCTTAATACATAGGCTTTTAGGTCACTAATTAAATACAAGTTGTATGAAAAAATACTAGTTTTTTTTTTAATTTGATTCACACACACGCACACAAACACACACACACACGGTTATAGTGTATTGGGTAATGGCACAGAAGGCGTACATTTTTCGTTTTTTTTTATAGGTACGCTTATGTATAAATAGGTAATTTAGATTGCAAACATTTTTTTTTCCTTTAAAGTTTATAATTGTTTCAAAGTTTATAATTATTTCTTAAGCCCTCATAACTTTATTCTCGCTCAACATCCTAGAGAATTGGGCATGGCTGAAAACCAGTGTTGCAAGGATCTGTCCTTACAACGTATACTGAGTCAGGTCCAATTGCCTTCGGTGTACTTATTAGTTGTAAGTCTAACTACCTGTACCTACCTATGTCTAATGGTTCGAAGGCAATAAATACATGTTTTATTTTTATTTTTTTTTATTTATTTTTATGGCGGCCCTCACTCGCTTGACTGATGAACAGAAAGGTAGTGGCACCTGGATGCGGGCAGCGCAGGACCGGTTATTTTGGAAATCCTGGGCATACTTTTGTCCTCCGTCATTTGGTTAGAACGACGCGATCAAAACAAGTTCTTACCATAACAGCAGCAGGTATACGTATTAGCCGAGACATGAACCACAGCTGCATTTGAGGGTCATCAGGTGCTGCTGCGAACGTTAACGGTGCCAGGTGCATAGTGGACGCTCTGGGAGGGTGCGGCTGGCTGAACAGCCGGTTCTTACCGTGACAGCAGTGGACAATACCAGCTGAGTTGTCTGAGAACCTAAGACGTGGATGTTGAAGGTAGTTTCTATTGACCAGAGGCAAGGATGAGCTTTACATCAAAGTTCTCACCGTTACAGAAGCATNAATTCATTTAATATTTTTTCACAATTTTTTCTAAATAATAAACTAATAAATAATTAGAAATTCTTGTTTAGGTTAATTGAGAAAGATTAGTGATTGATATTTTGGAAGGATGAAAACACACAAAAGTAATTGATTTTTACAACTCAATATTTTTATTCGTAGAAAGTTAGAATCATAAAACGAAACGTTTTATCTGTCTAAATCACCATCATAAGTTGAATGAACTATAGTCACCTATGCGCTAGAGTGGTATTAGTGGGAAATGGGGGTGGGATTAGTCCCGTACTCACCCCAAACAGGGTCCATTATAAGCGGGTGCGGCGGCGGCGCGTGTTCCGGCGCGTGGCGCGGCGCCGCGTGCGCGCAGCCCCCGCCCGCCCAGCGGTGCGCCGCGAATGCTCGCGCTGCGGATACCTAAGGAGGAATATACGCTTTAATACATAGGCCTTTAGGTCACTAATTAAATACAAGTTGTATGAAAAGTAGAAATACTATATTTTTATTTTATTTATTACGATAACTAACAAGACAAACACGCATACATAGAAATGAATTACTATACCTAAAAGTGCTTGGAACTTAGTGTTGTCTTAATTAAAGGCTGCCACGGCATGCAATATTTGATGGCAATAGTGTTACTGTGGTAACAAAAACACACAAACCCTAAGGGGTTTGAGGGTAGCTTCTTTCTGACCAGATGAAAGGTAAGTATAATAAGCTTACGGACCAGAAGATGTAATGTAGCATGAACTCCCACTCAGTCAGTGGATCGATGATCTAGTAAAGGTAGTGGCAAGCACCTAAATACGGGCAGCGCAGGACCGGTTATTTTGGAAATCCTGGACATACTTTTGTCCACAGTCATTTGGTTAGAACGAAGTGATCTAAACAAGTTCTTACCGTAACAGCAGCAGGTATACGTATTAGCCGAGACATGAACCACAGCTGCATTTGAGGGTCATCAGGTGCTGCTGCGAACGTTAACGGTGCCAGGTGCATAGTGGACGCTCTGGGAGGGTGCGGCTGGCTGAACAGCTGGTTCTTACCGTGACAGCAGTGGACAATACCAGCTGAGTTGTCTGAGAACCTGAGACGTGGATGTTGAAGGTAGTTTCTATTGACCAGAGGCAAGGATGAGCTTTACATCAAAGTTCTCACCGTTACAGAAGCATGCATAGCCAGTTTAGGGTATGTATTAGCCGAGACATGCACCACCGCAGCGTTTGAGGGTAGTTTCCTATTGACTAGAGGCAAGGATCAGCCTGTTTGCATCAACTCACCGTGACAGCAGTGGGCATAGCCAGCTGTGGATACGTGTTGGCTGACACATGGACCACAGCTGCATTTGAGGGTAGTTTCAACCTCAAGCACACGTCATCAGGTGCTGCCACAACATTAACGGTGACAGGTGCATAGTAGACGCTCTTGGAGGATGCGGCTTGCTAAGCAGTTGGTTCTTACCGTGACTGTAGTGGATATAACCAGCTAATGGTATGTCTTGGCTGAGAGAATGAGACGTAGACCATAGCAGCATTTGAGGGTAGCTTCTAATTGACTAGAGGGCAAGTATGAGCTGTGTTTCTGAGCAAAATGCTTACCGTAACAGCCGCGGGCATAGCCAGTTGTGGATACGTATTGGCTGACACATGGACCACAGCTGCATTTGAGGGTAGTTTAAGTCGTAGACAGACGTCATCAGGTGCTGCCGCAAACATCAGTGGTGCCAGATGCATAGTAGACGCTCTTGGAGGATGAGGCTCGCTCAGCAGCTGGGCAGGCGTCTGTCCGAAGCTTCGGATCTGGTCTTCGATGGCGGCGCGCGTCACCGGTTCTGTGATCTGGTCCAGGCGGACTCCGCCCTCGTATGTGAGGTAGTAGAACACGTTGGTTGCTCGGACCGCTTCGGGGCCTGGTCACAAACAAGATAAAGAATTATTAGTACATATGTACAACTAGCGGCCACACGCAACTTCGTACGCGTGGATCCCGTTTTACCCCCTTTAGGGGTGGAGTTTCGTACAGTCTTCCATATTACANCAACATTCAACTTAATCGACGACTTTCTCTAGAAAGGAAAAAAATCTGGACACCGCTTGCTAGTGCAAGCGCCATCTAGCGGTGAGCGATACAGGCGAACACCACGGGGCCGGAGTAGTATTGATTATGAATGTGGTTACTCCAGATCTTCGATTTTCCTAGTTTTTATAGTTTTCCCTTTATGTGGCCATTAAACCCTAACTCTGTACCAAATTTCAGCCCTCTGAGTTAATGGGAAGTACTAGTTCTATTTTGATGATCATCAGTGAGTGAGTGTCGTAAATGCGAAACTTTGCTTTCGCTTAACTTCGGAACTAAATGACCAACAGACTTGAAATTTTGGATTTAAAGTATGTGATTATAGCTTACTAGATGACGAAAATTTCTGCGTTCTGGTCTTATCCAGAGGTTCTCAAATAGGGGCCTGAAAATGCGGCGAAATGGTTCCAGTAAAGGATGGTACGGCAGTGTTTGCTTTGCGCTCGACTTTTATAAACGCTTTTTGCCCCAACACCTCCATTGTTTGTATTGCCGGTCAAATAATTTTGATCTGACTAACAACTAGGTATTTTATAGTCCACAATATGTGGACTTGCAATCAAAAAGTGTGGTTATAAATGAGTGAAAAACAAAGTCTGTACCTGATGATCAGCATAATATTATAGTAATTTCATCATCATCATCATTTCAGGCACAGGACGGCTTGTAAACGCAACGGTGTTTTTCTAAGAAGTAGTTTATTTTGCAATTAGGCGTTATAAAGATCCTGTATACCTAATTTAACTCCACCACTGCCTCGAGGCAATAGTAGGCCAGTGCCATTCTTCTCACTTCTCTGAAACTCGGTCACTTCTGCAAGCCTCTTCAATACCCTTACCTCTCTGTTTATATCCAAAGATCAAGTCAATCCATTGGTGCAGCTGGCAGCTGACGAACTCAGACTCCAGCGCCATCCTGTTGATCCTCACAAACTCCTCGGCGGAGGAGGCCCAGGGCGGCAGGATCACGTCGCCGGAGGGAGACTCGGGGATGCCCAGCCGGTAGCCGGAGCTGTTGATTAGCATCTCGGGCAGGAAGAAAAGCTCGGGGATCAGCTCCTGGGAAGGGCATAAAGTTGGTTCAATGTTAGTTTCAGTGAAGATTTCGTGAAGTTCAAATTCAAATAGCGAAAAACACTTCGCTAAGTAAAAACCAATGGTGATGATCAAGTTTTATACGAGCACACTAAACTTATAATTGTTTATTTACTTATGTGAAAGTATAGTATAAAGCCCGGTCCGTGAGCACGTAGAATTTTGTCCAATGACCCCTAGCTACCCATCCTTATCGCTCGCGCGTAATTATATTGCTGTCGCGACTGTGCGTCGGGCGCCCGCAGTAAGTGTGCGAGCGCGATAGCAACATAATTACGCGCGAGCGATAAGGATGGGTAGCTTGGGGTCATTAGACAAAATTCTACGTGCTCACAGACCAGACTTTTGTAGAAGTACAAGTTGAGCCAGAAAATTTTGAAAATAGCAGCGCTTGATTTCTTGAAAACGGTTTCAGGTTTCCGTGAAACGGTCGATAGTAACTAAAAATTCATAAAATTGCACTGCACCATTTCCCATCACTCACGCGTCCCTATCTCGAACCGTTTTCGAGAAATTAAGCGTTGCTGTTTGCAATCATTTTTGGTCCACCCTGTATAGTTTAAACTTAGTATATCGTTCTGAAATCGTGTGAGAGGAAACGTTCAAGTGTAAGTATTAGGTGTGATGTACCAAAACGTGTAATAATTTCTACAGTTTATCCGCATATCGACCTTCGCCATTGAACTAATGGCATGTCTCCATGCAAATCGATCTACACCGTTATCCAACTGTAATGTTATTGCTTCTAATGCCGGTGTCGAAACGAGGTCAATCCCATTGTCTCCTCGACAAATACTATGTTTAATGTTATACTCCTTTTTGTTTAACAATATCAGCCGTTTCGCAAAGCGTAAATCAATCGTATCGGGGTCGTCCCGGCCGCGGGCGTACTTTTTGCAAACGCGACGATTTTCGTTATGTAATTCATTAATACAATCGTATTGTTTCATGTCAACGATATGCAAGCAATTACAAGTCCGTGATTAATGGAAGTGTTTGCAATTATTTGTAAATGACGCGCGAAAGGCGTGAAAAGAACTTGTGGAAAATATTAATCATTATGTTCTACAAGCATGTGAGCATATCGATCGATTGGGCACGCGCTTTCTTGAAATATTAAGGCGATTGTTTTCGCAAATATTAGACTATGGTGACCAATACAATACTTTTTTATTTACAACAGAAAAAGACGCCTGCCTTTCTATGGGAATAAAACCATTTTCAACCGACTTCAAAAAAGGAGGAGGTTCTCAATTCGACCCGTATGTTTTTCAGACTAGAGAATGGAAATCGTTGCTCTGTCATTCAGTGCTAAAATTAACTGTGGGAAATTGACGCGTGCGCTCGAGCGTGCTAGCGTGCGCGGGCGCCGCCCTAATGGGAACGACCTCCTGTAATGTTGTGTAAATCATCGATCGATACGACAAAAGAAGTTGTAGGGTCCACTCAGGTCATTATTTTCCCATATAGGGTCTGGAGAAAATGTACGTTCTTTTGGAAACCACAATTCTCCAACCAATACCAATTAATAGAAATATCGCCAAGTAGTTCGCTTGACATCAAAGCATGTCCTCCCATTCCAGTTAAAAAAATCGTTTCCTAAAGCTAAGTGCCATCATGCAGCACTGGACACGCGTCCATCTTACTAAAGACACCAAATTGTCGTTCGTTAATTGTGTTTAGGTTACTGTGTGATTTACTAACCATAGTTTATAAGACCTTTGTTAAACACCTTTATGGGCTAAGCCTGAAATAAATTACCTTTTATTTTTTTTATAAAGTCGAGTTTCCCAAGACACATACCTTGACATCAGAGGTGTCCCGTTGACAGTTCTTCCAGGACAGCGCGATGGATGAGAACAGCCTGTTGGGGTGGTCGAACTTGCCGCCCTGCAGTGCCAGGAACATCGTCGTCATTGGTTCCTGGGGAGACAGGACAATACGAGTGATTAAATAAAAATATGTCATTAAAAAAATAATGTTTCTCTTCTTTTCCTTCAGTAACATGGGTTTTAGAAAGAAAGAAAAATTCTCAAAAGAGATTATAATTTTACCTACCTACTCTTAATGAGAATTATTTGGGATGGGATAAAATAAAGACATTTAGAAACTGTTTTGTTTTTGATCAACACTAAATACCCTTAGTACTTACCTACCTACGAACTTCGTATTAATAAGCAAGCAAAAAGGGAATGTTATCGTGTTATATTTATGCATTTTCCTTAGACATTGATAAGTATTTGGCCTAAATTAGGTACTGCTACTGTAACTAAAATAAGGAGCAATCTTTTCAAAAGCAATTACCGGTGCAACTGTTGATCCCTTTTTGTTTCAACTCCGCCATTAATCTCCTTTTTGTGTTGAAAAATAAAATTTCTAAGAGGGGACTGAAAAAGACACATTTCAGGACGCCAGCCAGATTCAATGACACACTCGAGTGACTTGAGTCGGCAATTTGGTGTCCACAAAAAAGGCCGCTTTAACCGATGTTATTTCCGACGACAAAAGTGGCTTTTAGCTTTTTTACCTTTTCCCGGCGCGTCGCGTCTCGTTGCGCCGGCGCATGATAGGGTGACAAGATCCACGTTTTATAATTTCGGGACACGTAAAGACATTCTTATTTTTTTATTCTCATTCAATCCCGTTTCATGGTCAAGCTCTTGGAGCTTCGAAAAGTTTGTGCAATTTACACCAGACTCATTGAAGCATACATGAAATAGAAATTAAGATGAAAATATAGGAATAACCCTTTCCTAGCTAAGCACAAAACACTAAGGCTGAGTTGCATCACCTCAACTTTAACCGTAACTATAACCGGTGTTTTTGTATGGAGTTTGACAAACTTTTGACGTTTCTTATAGTTCATATTATTTATTTGCTTACTAAGTGTAGGTACATAAGGTCTTATGTAAGTTTAAGTATGATGGTGCAACCCAGCCTTCGGTTATTCCTGTCATAGACAACACAAAGTCTAAAATGTCCGGGATTTCCCTGTGCCATGGCGACCCTACCGTTGCGCATCTGTGTCGGCGCGTCGCGTGCGCGCGCGCGATTGTTGTGACAGCCCACTTTAGCACCGGCCGTTAATGTACCTTCTAATTTACTATGATCGACGCCCGCTTTGAACGTCTCTATAAGCGAGCATTGTTCCATTGAAATAAACGCAAAGCGGGTAGAGAAAGGTGAATATAGCAGCTCTTAAAAGTCTTAAAACTGACATTCAAATTATCGAGTATTTTTTGGTAATATTAGAAACGATCATATAGTCCGGTCAAATTAGACATGAACTCTGCAATAATTCGCATACAGCTGAAAATTGGCACGAATGTTCGGAGCACTATTATGAATTAAATGTGAAAAGTCCCCATCGATCCGACATGTGCTATTAGGCCATTTTTTTCTTTTTTGTTACGTTTATGCTTCCACAACTGCGTGGGGAGCGTATACCTAGGCCATCCTCCATTTTCCCTGGTAAATTAAAGAGAGTAGGTACATCATATGCGTGGTGGTGTCTCCACTCATCATCATCATCAGGTCACATAGTCTGCACTGCGAGAGTACGACCCTCTCCAATTTACCAGAGGCAAATGGAGTATTTGGCCTACACTTCCTACGCTGGCCAGGGTTGGGGAGATTGGCGTCTCCACTACAGGACACTAAATGGCCCATAAATGGTTGATGATGATGTTCTAACTATGTAATAGTTTGGTATGCACATTTAATACAAGCGAAAGTTTAGACAAATCATTTTGGCTGATAAAGATAGACGGAAAATAAGAACAAAAATAACCCAACGCATTCCATATTAGTTTCGTTATTAGTACTGGAAACCTGCCAAATATGAAACGTACATTTGTTCAGTCGATCTGATTTAAATGGCTATTTGGTGTTTGAAGTTTCCTATAAATAATGGCGATATGGGAGCCATAATTGTTAATATTTCTTGCCTGGTATGATGGCTCACTTATTTATTGCGTACTAAACTGTGAAACGAATAGTTAAACAATTCAAGTATGAGACATGAAGTATACAATTAGGTACATTTAAGAATGATTTTTGTGTTTGATGAGGATGACTTAATTTTTATTGTTTTGTTTGACGCACTATTAACACCCCTTGTAGGTGACCTGTGACTAAAGAAAATTACATTTAAGTAATTGCTTTTCAATCCATTGAAAAAATTCCAGTAGGTACACAGTACACAGCTTGCTCACTCGATTATTTTAAAAACCCGTTTACTCAAAATTTATTATGCTTACAACTATGATTCATATTTATTTATTTAAGGACAGCTCACAAGACACAATCAAATAGAAAGATAGATCGAATTCTTTTTATGTTTATAATCTTGCCTTAATTAAAAGCTGCCACGACATCGCGACATGTGCAATGTTTTAACTAGTGTTTTATTGGGGACATAGTAATTAAACAAGTCTAAATAGATACTATTTACATTTGTAAAAACTTCCAGTAATTAACTGAGTCACACTACATATTGAGCGATTAGCAAAATATTTGTATACCATTTCATTCGGATCATCGTAAACATGTTTTTTTGTTAAATACACAAACAATAATCATCTATTAATAAGCTTGTGAAATTCCGTGAACGCTAATNTGATCGACGCCCGCTTTGAACGTCTTTATAAGCGAGCATTGTTCCATTGAAATAAACTCAAAGAGGGTAGAGAAAGGTGAATGTGTCAGCTCTTAAAACTGTCAATTAAAATATTGAGTATTTTTTCCAAATATTGGAAACGACCTGATACAGACCATTTTTGTATAAGCACCCTTGATAGGGTCTAGCAGGGGTGGCCAAACTTTTGACCTGTGAGGTCTACTTATGCTCGAAAATATTTCTTGCGGTCGACTGCAAGGTAGAGTTTAGAAGAGTGAAATAAAACATTTTAGCAGCAACAACACTACTACGTTACGATCGACCGAAGCGTGTGAGTACCTATATTTATAGGTAGATAGATAGTCAGTGTTCTTGGCGGGAATAGTACATTTTAAAATAAGTTCAGTTTATTTAACTCTCGCGGGCTACCAAAATCGTCTTCGCGGTCGACCGGTAGACCGCGGTCGACGTCTTGACCATCACTGGTCTAGATACGGAATAAATGAATAGGCTAGTTTCCTAAAAAAAATTTTTTAGTCCGTCATGTTTAATATAAAAAAATATTGGACACATATATTTTTATTTGTCAATCTAACAAATAATTATATAGTTATGGTGCGTTGAAGTTCCGCACGACGTCACAACGTGCGGCACTTTTATGCACGCATTGACGTCACGGGCCTCTTCTTATGAACTTTGGCGCGTTTTATCTCTTTAAATTTTCATTAGTTTGAAAAAGTGAAAAATACGTGTAGAGTATTTTTTGATAAGTTAACTGACGGACTAATTAAAACTCTTGCTCTTTGACCCAGGAAACATCTCTATTCATTTGATTTCTTTTTTTTGCTTACGTTTATGCCTCCACAACCTATCTAGACACAGCTTGGGGAGCATAGGTATACCTAGGCCATCGTCCATTTTTCCCTGGTAAATTAATGAGGGTAGTAGACACTACAGGAGACTCAATGGCCCGATGATGATGATATTCTAACTATGTGTAATAGTTTGGTATGCTTGAATACAAGCGAAAGTTTTGACAAATAATTTTGGCTGATAAAGATAGACGGAAAATAAGAACAAAAACATCCCAACGCATTCCATATTAGTTTCGATATTAGTGCTGGAAACCTGCCAAATATGAAACGTATTTGTTCAGTCGATCTGATTTAAATGGCTATTTGGTGTTTGAAGTTTCCTATAAATAATGGCGATATGGGAGCCATAATTGTTAATATTTCTTGGCTGCTATGATGGCTCACTTATTTATTGCGTACTAAACTGTGAAATTAATAGTTAAACAATTCTGTTGTGAGACATGAAGTATACAATTACATTCAAGAATTATTTTTGTGTTTGATGAGGATGTACTTAATTTGTATTGTTTTGTCTGACGCACTATTAACACCCCTTGTAGGTGACCTGTGACTAAAGAAAATTACATTTAAGTAGGTAATTGCTTTTCAATCTATTGAAAAAATTCCAGTGTACACGATTATTTTAAAAACCCGTTAACTCAAAATTTATTATGCTTACAACTATGATTCATCAGCAGTATGGTTTTTATTTATTTATTTAAGGACAGCTCACAAGATACAATCAAATAGAAAGATACATCGAACTCTTATAATGTTTTATAGTCATGCCTATATAAAAGTTCAATAATAATAAATAATATCCTTTGACATTTTACACTGCACTTCTAGTCCCAAACTAAGCAAAGCTTTTACTATATGTACAATGTTTTAACTAGTGTTTTATTGGGGACATAGTAATTAAACAGGTCTAAATAGACACTATTTACATTTGTAAAAACTTCCAGTAATTAACTGAGTCACACTACAAATTTAGCGATTAGCAAAATATTTGTGTACCATTTCATTTGGATCATCGTAAACATGTTTTTTGTTAAATACACAAACAATAATCATCTATTAATAAAATTGTGAAATTCCTTGAACGCTATTNACGCTAATAATACCGAATCTTAATTAAATTACCGGAAGAAAAGATTTATTTGCGATCACTTAATTGTCTGGTTGTTGCTTTTAATTACTCGGGCCTTTAAATCATTCTATTTAAAGGACATAATGTTAATTGCAGTTTTATTTGGCCGACAAAAGTGTACGATCGGAGTTTTCAATTAGGACTGGCAACACCGCGTGGAGGATGGATGTCCGCTTTGTGCGGGATAAATCATTACGACGCGCGCGCATTTACTTTGCTTTTAGTTTTACGAGTGCTGCTTAGAATAAAGCACATTAGAGTAATAAAATAAAAAGGGAAAGTATCTACTATGCGACGTTAATGCAACATTTTGCTAGTTTTATAGCCTTTATCTACTTAAAATACAGTAAGGTACATTAAAGCTAATTATGTTTGTGGTGGGATCGTAGCCATAACAACAATCAAACAAAGAGTCTGGGGTTAAATAATCCGATAGTGCTATGTTAGACACTTATGACGACTCATAAAGGGATCAAACACAATTGAAAGAAGATTAGTAGAGGTTCAGAAGTAGAATGTCATGCAGGAGGCTCAGGAAGGAATTATTTTGTAATCATGTTATGTGTTTCTCTTTAGAAAAGTTTTATCCTATTACTTACATTTAGAATAGCATAGGAGCTACCTAAATGAAGGTACATTTACGACAGGTCGTTGGCAGAAGCCGGAACTGACAAGCCGAAGACAGGGTAAATTACATTTTGATGGAAGCCTATATCCAGCAGTAGACTGTTATATTCTAATGTAGATGCTCATATCCTTCTCACATAAAACCTTCTTTCTCTGTTTCTTAAGAACATGATAAGTAGGTACTTATAGTATTAAGTTTGCTTTATTTTCGACTACGAGCCGGCCGGGCCCCCCACTATGTGCCACACCAAAAGGTCGCGGGAAGAGCCTGGATTGGAAATACTTGGGGGAAGCCTTTGCCCAGCGGTCGACGTCTTTTGGCTGAAACTGAAACGAACAATGTTCGACTAATTTCTGTGGCGTAAAGATTACTCAACTTAAGGTCCTATGTCCCCTGGATGGGGCAGAGGACGTCCACAACAGACTGAGCTTCGCGTTTGATCTCCAGGTCTTGCGTAAAGATGAAATAAATATAAAACACTCACGATCCTGACGAGCCAGTTGAGCACGAAGGCAGCCGTGGAGTAGTGCGTGCCGTAGTGGAAGGGTGGCGTGGACTCGTGCTCCCACGTGTTGTAGCGCTCCTCGAAGTAAGCTCGCCGGCTCGGGTTCAGGGCTCCGATGGGCTGGGGGCGAAGGCCACATTCAAATTCAATTTCTTTACTACGATGTAGGATTGGAATTCCCTATGTTCCCGAAGTTATACAACTCTAAAGCCTTGTGAAGATACGCGCGATAACCGCGCGGTTTCTGGATGGTTCTCATTGGCGAGGCACTGAAGCTGTAACCGTGCGGTTACAGTTTCATGAAAATGTACAAGAACTGCCCAGCAACCGCGCGATTATCGCTGTGTCTGAAGCAGGTTTAAATCTTCAAGGCATGAGTGAATTGGCTTCTTTAAACTCGCTTCATTACATCGCATTTGCACCTCTTGGGTGAGATTGTGATAAAAAGCAAGCTAAATTAAATACCCTTTTCACTTGAACACGCACATCTCAAATACAGCTTGCCCTTCCACCACATTTTGGGTGGTAGAAGAAGCGGCAGAAAAAATTAGTAGGTATGTAAAATTTATATTGTTCTTGATGACAGCGATGCTAAGAAGTACCAATAGGCATCAATAGTCATACCTTTGAAAGATCCCTGTAGTTGGAGGGCTGGCTGAGGTCCAGTTCCTCGCTTTCGTAGTTGGTCAGCACCCACGGGAACACTGGGTACTGGTTCAGGTCATTGTACGTCCGTCCTGTGGGAGGTGATATTTTCGTTTAGCAATAAGACACTATTTAGTTATTCCTACATTTGAAGATTTATCACTACACACTGCATATTATAACACAACACAATTCACTAGTTGTAAAGTATCGACCACGATTTCAATTCAACTACCCTCCACAGAATAATTTACTGATACCACTAATCAATTGAGATACTTTTTTAAGCTGTCAAATCGCGATTTTCCCAAAGAGTCAATTTAGTTTCCATTATTTATTATTCAAACACTCAAAGATATTTTTTTATTTTGCAAATTGCGAACTAAGTAATTGGGGTTTTCAGACCTAATTTTTATTTTAAAAAGATGTGTCTTAGAATTTATTCATAATGGTTTCATGTAACATTTTTTTACGAGGTTTTCACAGATTTAATTTGAAGCATGAGATCGTTTGAGAGCTTGTTATCGTGTGTTTACGTTAAAATTGCGCAGTGCAAACTATATTTATTTATATTAATATTATATGGTAAAATGGTAATGTACTGATTTAAGGTCACGTACCGATCATTTCTCTAACGTTCTTGTTTGTCTGGCTCCATTACGCTTATCATGTTATCGGCTTCTTATCTACTTCTTGGTTAATTTTAACACTAGCCACTTTCTTCTAAATTATTTTAATTATGATGAGGAAACTTTTGTATAGGATGTTGCAGGTGGAAAACTGATTTTCCGATAAGAAAATTATTCCGGGACGGCACGCGACCAATAGATAATAATTATTGATCTACCGTCAATCTTTGTTAATTTACGATTAATTATATTATTATCGTTTAGCAATTATTCCGTAAACGAGCTATGGTATAATATCCTGGTAATGTAGGTTTAGTACGGAAATCTTTATTGTTATTAATTCCTACTTATTTATAATTTGACATCCATATTAAGGTATGGATTTCCACTTCGTTATCAACGCTTGCAAGTCTTACCAAGGCTGGGTCAATAGATTTTCCAGGGACACCGGGCCAGCAAAAGCAAAACTACCTATACCTATTGAATTCATAAGGCCATTTATACCAGCGCACGCCGCCTGCTAACTCAAAGTGGCCCGTGTGCCTGGGTTTGGCCAGCCTTGTCCTAAACAATATAACGGAGAATCAAGGTGTTCTTCTTCTTACTATTGGGCTGAGTTGCACCATTTTAGTTTAACTTTAACAAACGTCTAAAGACTGTCAAACTCCATACACAAAACACCGGTCATGGATAAAGTCACGGTTAAAATAAGTTGGTGCAGCTCAGCCTAAGACCACAGAGGCGGTCTGTTGGGTGACATTAGGAACCAACATTATGACATTATGAATCTAAAACCACCTACTTTCAGAATCATAGCGTATCGCCACTACAGTCCATAGTAACCACGGTGACGCGCCTCATCGCCTCGGACCATAGCGACCCACTTGCGGTTTGCGAAAGCGTTTCCAAACAAATCCTTCGGGCGTCCCTTGACATGTTTATTGGTTCATATCGGTAATAGACAATGCTATTTTTTTAATTCAACGGTGACGACAGCGACACCATTGGACAACCTTGAAGAATTTGGAGTAATAGGTAATTTGCAATGAAATTGGCTACTGTAGTAGTTGAAAGATCTCTCGTAATAATGGTAATAAATCATCAGGTGATTTACCATGCCTGCTGCTGTCTTTCCCGAAAACTATAGTAATCCGGGCCTCTTCAAGGCGAGAGTGAATAAGCACTTACAGGGCAGATATGTACCATCCTAGACTGCATCCCACTTAACATCAGGTGCGATTGTGGTCAAATACCTGCCTTGTTATGCATAAAAAAAAATTCTACTGCAGGAGAACGATCCTCTTTAATTTTTACCAGAAAAGAATGGAAGATTTGGCTTACAATCTCGACGCTAGCCTCGCTAGATCTCGAATCTACAGCTGATTTAGATCAATAATTTGGTATTTTAATTATGTTTATAATTTCGAGTGTAAATGTAAGTAGCAGTCAGATCAATTGATATTATGTTATTTGTAAGTATATTGTTAAACCACCAGATAAGTACCTACTACGTGAAAAACATAGTATACCTACATTTTCTTAGGAATTGGATGTTATATTGTCAGTCATAGGTTTCGTACATTAGTTTAAACACAACAACGTGAACGAACACAATGCCTCTACATTTCAGGAAAATATCATGTCTATGTTAAGTTTTACTGACAATAGTGTTTACTAGAAATATTTATCACACAATATCGCGGTACGCTACTGTCTAAACAATTACCTCAGTGTTACGCAGAATACTATTGAAGAGCGGGCTTAGTGTGCGTTTACATCAAAACGTCACTAGCAAGCGCGTTAAAAATATATGAAAATTTTAGTTCTTGAAAGTTTCCGCTAGGGGCACTGTACAATCCGTCATACATATGTCATTTTTTTACGCAGTCGACATCGAATGGATTTGACGTAAACTCACACTACACCTGAGCCGTTATTTTCACATATTTTATCATCATTCCAAAAGGCAGAATATTTATTATTATGGCATAATTTTTACACTAGCTTGTAGCACTTGTAGTTTGAATAATATTTAAACAGTGGATATTATAATTTTCATTAACAGTGGGTTTCCAGTTTAGTTATTTTGCCTACATTCTTGATAATTAGTATTAATTACTCAAAAGAGCCTAGGCAACGATTTTAAGGATAGATCTAAGTAACCAACCAAGGTCATCCGACACAAGAATGTTAATTTCTACGTTATAAATGAGTAAGTATTTAATATGTGATTTGCTCATAAACGCCGTCGCACTAACTGTTAATGTATGTTATAGGATAAAAGTTCCACACTTCAATTGCTAATATTGCTATTAATTAAAATTTTATAAAAAAAAATAAAACCGACTCCAAAAAACCTACACTAAAACGTCGAAAAATAATTACTAATTACCTACTTATTTATTAGGACGAATTATTAATATTTATGTAGGTATACCATGATTGATACTTTTGGAGTCGGTGCAGGCAAACTTTACATGTTTCATAATCTTGGCACCGACTCCAGAAGTATCAATCATGGTATACCTACATAAATATTAATAATTCGTCCTAATAAATAAGTAGGTAATTAGTAATTATTTTTCTACGTTTTAGTGTAGGTTTTTTGGAGTCGGTTTTATTTTTTTTTATAAAATTTTACTTATTTCTTGCTTTTTAGTTAACTAATTATTACCTTGATGTTACCAATAAAGGTAGGCAGTACACTGAGACCAAAAAAAAATTGGTTCATAATCGGCGGAGATATTGCGTATAAAAAAGTTCATCCCCAATTTTCCACCCTTGGGGGGGAAATATTTTTTCCAAATCCCCATGAAACCACCCTTTTAATAAAACCTATCAAACAAAAAAATAATCGTTCAAATTGGTTTATAATCGACGGAGATATTGCGTATAAAAAAGTTCATCCCCAATTTTCCACCCTTGGGGGTTGTTTTTTTTATTATTAAATTTAAATGGGACCACCCTTGAGGTATTACCTATACGTCGAAAAAAGATTTGTTCTAATCGGTTCATAATTGGCGGAGTTATCGCGTAACAAACATAGAAAAAAAAAAACATACGGGTCGAATTGAGAACCTCCTCCTTTTTTGAAGTCGGTTGAAAAGACAACCTCATAAGTCTAATCAAACAAGTAACAATGAGTTATAAATGTCTCCACGTGGACTATATATCAAGTGGCAATAGAGTACATAGACCGATTAAATTGTGTAGATTATGTAAGATAAATAGGTAATTTATCGTAATGCGAAAGATTCTCATATTTATGCGGAATAATTATTGATTTAGATAGAGTTTTGTGACGTTAAAGTTAAGTAAATAGAAAATATTGTCAATAGTTAGTAAAGACAGTAATGAATTTGAGCATGACTTATGTATGCTTTACATATTTTTAACAAACTGGTCATGTGATACTTAAACAAACAATTATATTTGAAAATAATGATGTTATTATTAAAACAGGTGTTAAAGACATGTTATTGATACAATTAATTGTGTATTGTGGAATATTACTCACAAAGCATTATTTACTTTGAGTTTCATTAAAATACAATGATTTTCTAAGACTCGCCAGTATTCTAAAGTCTTTCTGCCAGGAAACATTGAGTTGCAAGGATATCAAGCGTCTGTACACTAAACTTTGACCTGGAGTGATATTTTAATACATAAACAGCGTCCGCCGCAAGATATCGTATCAGGGCGGTCATTATCTGACGTTTGCAACAGCATCTGTCCTATTGTTGTGGTCACGTGACGCGCCACTTTTCCCGCCAGCCGACCGGCGGGCCACTCGTCAAACGCTTGCCAACTTTCGCAGCCGCACGATTGAATCGCCAAGAAAAAAAAACACGTAGAATTCAAACTTTAACAAATAATTTGTTTCGAAAGTGAGTGCTTCGGACTGCATCAGTCAGTGGCATAGGCTGTGCGGTTGAGTTCCTTCGCCTTTCCGCAAAAAGTTTGCGCGCCAAAACAACAACAAATGACAGCAAAGTGTGAGTGTGATTCATGTGTGCCGAACAACGGCTGATATGCTGGGGAAGAATCTTATGGAAGTATTGAAAAGGTATGAACGTTAACGATTATGTATTCCACGTAATTCATAGTGAAATGCTGACGTCGTTTTCAGTATTTGTGTGGGGAATTACCTACTTAACACAGTTTTTGTTGTGCTCATATGAAGCGACTGACGTTTCACTTTCGAGTGACAGTGATTTCTTTTGTTTTACACACTCTACGTTGTTTTTTGTCTGAATAACCAAATGCAAATTCACAAATTGACGTGTAATAAACAAGTTACCAGGCATTTGTCCTTTGACCAACAAGATTTTGAATTCTTTCTTGTAAGAACGAGAATATTTTACTAGATTTGTTCGATTTGTCAGGCCCGGTTTTTTGATTCGTAGTTAAAATAACCAATGGTCAAATTTGACAGATCTATGTCATATGACAAGTGGTTAAAT